TTGACTGTCGATATATGTGAACTTACTGACCTATATCTTTGTTGAAGGTTAATACCTGTTGAAGGTCTATGCTGAATATTAATCATTCTCTGGCTCTTCCACTAAATAATCTTACCAAGTAAGATGCCATTTATATCATATCTTGGAATATATCCATTTTTGCGCAATAAACGAGTGTTATCCGTGACGTGTGATGAGCGCGTGAGACATTGCTTTTACTATGCCTAGATATCTACAATTTTTTATATGCATGCAATACATTATCAGCAATCGACATCTATCGTAGAAATGATGATATTCTGAGGGGGCTCTTGAATACAGAATCAACCACCACATGTACACATCTTAGGTTTGAGAAGATGGTATGTTACTATCAAGAAAGGGAAAGTTTACGATAGGAAAATCGCAATCATGATTTTTGTACAGCTTATTGAAGTTAATCGTCCCTGCACAACGTCGATATATTTTCATTTGAATTTAAAGGAATCAGCTAGATCTATTTAAAAATAAATTCAACTCAGATAAAATAAAAAGCAAGTCAGCAAGAATACGGGCACATTTTGTTTAGAATGCTTACAGAATTCTGGAAAATGTTGGCACCTATTTCGACACAGATATTGTCAACCAGGAACTCAATCCTTACGATTTCATCTTCACTTTTTATCATTTTGGCCTCTGTTGTGCTTTCCACAAGTCAGGATGATGGATTGGGCATGCAAATACATGTAGAAAGAAAAGTCAGCAATAAAATGTTCGTTTATAAGGATTCTTGTTAAGTCTAGGAATCCAATACAAGCGAGGCAGGCCCGTATACTCATCATTAATGGTTATTCATAATGATTGTAATGCAAAGAAGTGATTAGCTAGTGTTTCAAAAAAAGAGAGAAAATATTTAGGTAGAGTTTCCTTTGGTTATCAAGCAAGCCTATTTTGAGTTACTAGTATTAGATGCTTGACTGCAAACACAGCTACATCATGCAGATCGTTGAGTGTGGTTTAGACATCCGGGTCAAGCAATGCAAACTTTGTTTTTGTTTTCGTTCTGCTTTTCAAGCAGTTAAATCTTAATTGAATGACGGAATAAAATAGATTTGACCAACAACTCTGAAAGTAAATCCAATTAAGCATACTCTCGTTTAGCCTAATTTCTGGCGTAGTCTTCCAAATATCTCTTCAGTATCTTGAAATTCATATTCCAGTTGATAGTAAGGTATTTCGATACTTTGTATCTCTCTTTAAAAACTTCCCTAGTTTAACGTTATCCAGCTGTACTAAGGTTGTTAGGAGATGATAAACAGTAAGAAAATGCTGGATGGTGAATTGATTTGAGGTAATCGAAATTCAGCTGTTGCATCGTTTGCCTGTAGTTGAAAAGCTTGAAAGCAATGCTTTATAATACCTGTAAATCTGATAGTACCATTGGTTTCTGATACATACGGATGTAAAAGTACATTAAAACTTTAACTTAAGTTGATATTTGCGTTAGTAAATATACCTGGTCTGGGCCGAATTCCAACGGTCCATTAGTTTAAGTAGTGGAGATCGGAGATTCGTGAGGTTCGATCCCCGAATTTGCCTATTGTATTCCCCCGTCCTGTAACAAGCCAACCGATCATTTACATTTTTTTAAGTATTTATAAATAACCAATGAATTATATAAAAAGCCGCATGCACATGATAACAAGTCGGGTTAAAAAAACCTTCCGGAATGGATTGCACACCTGCATACTGCAGGTAAAACGCACTTTACATCAGCCATAGCTACGCGTATCGTGTAATAAATTGAGATAAAATACGTCAACAATACCGCGCTATACCGTTATCAGGGGTTGTATTGACTTCTGACCCCACCAAGCTATATCAGTCGTCAGTCTTCCTGGTAATGTACACTACACCAGGACACGTTCGTATTTAGACACTGGAGGATTATATTAATGCCGTTAACCTGATGGTGTGACCAGAAGATCTGTTAGAGTATCCTAGAGTGACACAATGGGCAGAAGACGAGACAAAACAGCTGTCAATCCTCTCACCAAATATTTCCTGTTCTTTGAAAATTTTGTGATATGGGTAAGTTCGTTCATACATGTGTGATCGTCCTTTATCTGACTACGTTCGTTTTGTTGTCTAGTTCAGATTGGTTGGCTGGGCTGTTGTTTACAGTGCATTGAGTCCAGTCGTCTACCTTAATGATAATGGCCTGGGAAGCTAATCACTTTGTCACATATGTAAAACGGTGACAAATATTTTTTTTTAAATATGATACTCATTGTTCACGTGATTTACGTGTTTTAACTACAGAAATATTATGACAAATAAAAGTGTTGTTACATAAAGGTGTCCTTATTACTATCAATAATCGCCAGGTCCTAATTACTATTAATAATCGCCAAGTCTAATTACTATCAATAATCGCCAAGTCCTAATTACTATAAAGTCCTAATTACTATCGCCAAGTGTTAATCACTCCTCTATAATAGCTGTTTCTTCGATGTTCAAGCTTGGAGCTCTTTTATAAAAGAGATACATAAATGGCGCAGTCAAGGCAGCATATACCCTTTATTTACCCAATCGAAGTTATGACTGTTAGTGGGTGAGATTTGAGGAACGGCAAATTATTTATCACAAGCTTATACATGTTATCATCGAGTTCATCGATAACCGTTTATCAGACAATCATACGTGTTTACTCACAGATTAGAATTAAAGGACAACTTATTAAACCATCATGTAAATAAACAATCCTAATATTTTGTTTTTATATGTATCCGCTCTTAAAAATATTGAAGCTAGAATGTGAATAGCGGAGAAGTATATGACCGTATCTATGATCATCCTAAGTACATGTTAACGACTATCCATGTTTGCCTCTCTGTGGTGTCGTTATGGTTAACTGTTTCTTATTTAAAGAATGTAGACAGTAGAACGACTAATCTTCTTCTAGTGTTATCCATTAATGAAGATGATTCGAAACATTGGCTAGGTATTTTCAATAATGTGTTCCCCTTCTCATTTTTGTTATTTGTGTTTTGCTATAAAATCAAACGAAGTCAAATACAGGATGGATTCATTGTTTTATCGCTTGTGTATCATTATGTGCGTGCCTTGCATTATTTAAGTGTTATTCTTTGGATAATAGATATGTGGAGGAAAGACCGTTGCGTTTGGTATATGGAAAGAATGAGTGCTTAAATGTGTATTTAAGTGTTTGAATATCGTGTTCTTGCATGTACCAGGATGAGAACACTTGTGTTTATTGCTGCGTGTCGGTGTACTAATTTGTGGAAGCCATTCTCTTTCTCTGTGTGTGGAGGATTGGTCATTGTAGACGGTGTAGTATGTCTGTGACTGAATTTGTTGTTCACGTAACGTGCTGCCCTGTTTTTCTATTTTGGTTTATGTTGATTTACAGTATTGGTCCCAGATTTAAGAGCAGTATTCTAATTTTAGGGTTCATGTGTGGTGAATTGACATTTAGGTTGAATTTTAAAAAAACAATGATTTATTTGCGTTTGGCGTAATATTGGTCACATTTTTGCCTCTTTAAGGTTGTTTTGGGATGTAAGAAATCGGTAGTAACTTCAATTTACTTATCCGTATATATGGTCATGAAGTGTGTATTGCTGTTTAACTGAGAAAGTTTGATGCAATTTCGGGGATAGTGCCTTTGTCTGGATGGAGTTTAATAAACCATTCCTCTTCCCATTTGCTTCCTATGTGCACCTCTTCCTGTAGTTTGTGTGTGTTGTCTTTGTTGTCCATTATTTTTGACAGTATGTTGTAAATCAAAAAAGGCCCGAGTTTAGTAATTCTGTGAAGGCTTGTATGTACCGGTAAACGAGGAAGAGGACCAAGGCTTGTATGTACCGGTATACGAGGCAGAGGACCAAGGCTTGTATGTACCGGTATACGAGGAAGAAGACCAAGGCTTGTATGTACCGGTATACGAGGAAGAGGACCAAGGCTTGTATGTACCGGTATACGAGGAAGAGGACCAAGGCTTGTATGTACCGGTATACGAGGAAGAGGACCAAGGCTTGTATGTACCGGTATACGAGGCAGAGGGCCAAACCCAGTTGTTACAGGTATTCTGTGAAGGCTTGTATGTACCGGTATACGAGGAAGAGGACCAAGGCTCGTATGTACCGGTATACGAGGCAGAGGACCAAGGCTTGTATGTCCCGGTATACGAGGAAGAAGACCAAGTCTTGTATGTACCGGTATGCGAGGTAGAGGGCCAAGGCTTGTATGTCCCGGTATACGAGGCAGAGGACCAAGGCTTGTATGGAACGGTATACGAGGAAGAGGACTAAGGCTTGTATGTACCGGGATACGCGGAAGAGGACGAAAGCTTGTATGTACCGGTAGACGAGGCAGAGGGCCAAACCCAGGTGTTACAGGTATTCTGTGAGGGCTTGTATGTACCGGTATACGAGGAAGATGATCAAGGCTTGTATGTTCCGGTATACGAGGCAGAGGGCCAAGCCCAGTTGTTACAGGTATTCTGTGGAGGCTTGTGTGTACCGGTATACGAGGCAGAGGGCCAAACCCAGGTGTTACAGGTATTCTGTGAAGGCTTGTATGTACCGCTATACGAGGAAGAGGCCCAAGGCTTGTATGTACGTACCGCTATACGAGGAAGAGGATCCAGGCTTGTATGTACCGGGATACGCGGAAGAGGACGAAAGCTTGTATGTACCGGTATGCGAGGGAGAGGGCCAAGGCTTGTATGTCCCGGTATACGAGGAAGAAGACCCAGGCTTGTATGTACCGGGATACGCGGAAGAGGACGAAAGCTTGTATGTACCGGTAGACGAGGCAGAGGGCCAAACCCAGTTGTTCCAGGTATTCTGTGGAGGCTTGTGTGTACCGGTATACGAGGCAGAGGGCCAAACCCAGGTGTTACAGGTATTCTGTGAAGCCTTGTATGTACCGGTATACGAGGAAGAGGACCAAGGCTTGTATGTTCCGGTATACGAGGCAGAGGGCCAAACCCAGTTGTTACAGGTATTCTGTGGAGGCTTGTATGTACCGGTATACGAGGAAGAGGACTATGGCTTGTATGTACCGGTAAACGAGGAAGAGGACCAAGGCTTGTATGTACCACTATACGAGGAAGAGGACCAAGGCTTGTATGTTCCGGTATACGAGGAAGAAGACCAAGGCTTGTATGTACCGGTATACGGGGAAGAGGACCAAGGCTTGTATGTACCACTATACGAGGAAGAGGACCAAGGCTTGTATGTTCCGGTATACGAGGAAGAGGACCAAGGCTTGTATGTAACGGTATACGAGGAAGAGGACTATGGCTTGTATGTACCGGTAAACGAGGAAGAGGACCAAGGCTTGTATGTACCGGGATACGAGGAAGAGGACCAAGGCTTGTATGTACCGGTAGACGAGGAAGAAGACCAAGTCTTGTATGTACCGGTATACGAGGAAGAGGACTATGGCTTGTATTTACCGGGAAACGAGGAAGAGGACCAAGGCTTGTATGTACCGGTATACGGGGAAGAGGACCAAGGCTTGTATGTACCACTATACGAGGAAGAGGACCAAGGCTTGTATGTTCCGGTATACGAGGAAGAGGACCAAGGCTTGTATGTAACGGTATACGAGGAAGAAGATCAAGGCGTGTATGTACCGGTATACGAGGAAGAGGACCAAGGCTTGTATGTACCACTATACGAGGAAGAGGACCAAGGCTTGTATGTACCGGTATACGAGGAAGTTAGAATGTTTGTTTTAAGACACTACAGTTGTTACAGGTATTTTGCATCATGGATGTTTGCCGTAAAGTCTTGTTTGGGTGCGCTGTGGTAAAAAGTCAGTGACTCACAGGACAGTGTTTACTGTGATGCCATCCAATCAAAAGCACCAACTGTAAGGCTACAGATATCTGGACATATCTATCAGAGAAAATACCAAATAAAAAAATACATTACCTTTATGTAGCCCAATACCAAAAAAGGTATCAACCAAAATGTTACAAAATATCTGTTTATACAACAGAAATAATTGCCGATTTTTAAGATTAATATTTTTGGTCTAAATGATGGTAAATAGATCATATACGTTTTCTAGGAAAAGGTGAAAGTAGACCGGACTTTAAAGATTCTACAAAGGGAATTATTTTCTTGCTGTTGAACAATTGTTTAAGATATTGTATATTTTTACAGCGTGTTAAGATCGTCCTTCGTCACATTAATGAGTATTTTGTTTTTTTCAATTGTACCACCAGATTGGCGGGCTGGCCATCACGGGTTTGGGAGCGTATGTGCTGTGGGTTAAACAGAAGGTGGTAAAGGACGCGTTCGACTTCTTCCTCGACCCAGCCACCATTATGGTGACAGCGGGCTCTGTCGTCGTCTTCATCTCGTTCTTCGGCTGTATGGGCGCACTCAGGGAAAACACGTGCTTTCTCAAAGCAGTAAGTACTTTTATTTAAATTCGTGCCTGTAACACACTCCTGTTTCAATACAAAAATAGTCCTAAGGGAGGCCAGTAAAAATGGAACCGCATACTTGTGTGAAAGTCGGCTCAAAAATGAGGAAGATTGATAAACGGGTGATAAAATTAAACACAACATTGCTGCAGAATAATCGAACAAATGTGTTTTGTTGGGACTGTAAGATGTGGGTTCCCGATGTTTATCGGCAATATTTCATTGATTGGAAGATAGAAAAGCATTATTGTGTACAGTGTCCTACAGTTCAACAGATTAGTGCCACCATCATATTACAATATAGTATTACACTCAAAGTAAGGTTTTTGTAATGCGAGTTTTGTTTTGTCTGTCAAAATATAATCGCTATTTTTGCGGTCATTTCTATTAATTAATAGTAATTTATTAATGAAGTACATGATTATCCTTGCTTTAGATATTCATGCATTTAAGTCTCACACAGAAGTGCATGTGTAACAAGAGGTGAAAAAACCCTGCACAGAGGAAATCCAATGAATGGTTTCCCATTGAAGAGAGTTACAAATTCATGAATGGGACGGATTACTTCAATACTTTCATGAATGGGCCAGTACGAGTGAAAGTATTAAGTAATTTACTATATCAGTGAAATGCATATGACATTCAACTGATACCCCGAAAATGTTCAGTTCATTACACAGCCCGAGTTTCCTGTGGCCCATACCAGACATTTACCTGTCAAAATGTTTTAGTCTGGTGTCACGGCCAGAGGAAACTCGAATGTCTTAGTCTGGTGCCAGGGCCAGAGGAAACTTGAATGTCTTATTCTGGTGTCAGGGCCAGAGGAAACTCGAATGTCTTAGTCTGGTGCCAGGGCCAGAAGAAACTCGAATGTCTTAGTCTGGTGCCAGGGCCAGAGGAAACTCGAATGTCTTAGTCTGGTGTCAGGGCCAGAGGAAACTCAAATGTCTTAGTCTGGTATCAGGGCCAGAGGAAACTCGGGCTACTTATTACATTACTATTATGTTTCTGCTTTAGTAAACAAGATACCTAATGACTCGAACAAATTGTAATATTTCATTTTAACAAAGTTACTTATACCATATACTTTATTGCCTTACTATTTTGATATAAGGAAGTATCTACTGACGCGTAAATTTGTTTTAATGTTTCAGTAAACAAAATATCTAATGACACGAACTTATGTAATATTTCAGTACAGCAAAATATATTTTGCTATTCTATTAAACAAAGTATGTAATGTCACGTACATATACTATAGTTTTGTCATATTAGTACAATCAAGTATCTAATAACACTTCCTGTTGTGTATTTTATTTTAGTATAACATATTCCTGTCCATTATGTTCTTTGGGGAGCTGGCTCTGGTTATCTTCGTCTTCGTGTTTTACTTCGTCCCGGATGCCCGAGAAAAGCTTGGCCTGTTCCCCGGAGACAGCATGAAGGATGCAATACAGAAATATGGTGTTGTGGATGACGAGGACATGGTGAACCTCATAGACAATATACAGAAAACGGTAACTCATACTCCAGTAGTTCGGCAAGTTCGTGTATGGTAGCTTCTACACCTGCTTTAGACAACATACAGAAAACGGTAACTCATACTCTAGTAGTTCGGCAAGTTCGTGTATGGTAGCTTCTACACCTGCTTTAGACATCATACAGAAAACAGGTAACTCGTACTCTAGTAGTTCGGCAAGTAAGTGCATTGTAGCTTCTACACCTGCTTTAGACAACATACAGGAAACGGTAACTCGTACTCTAGTAGTTCGGCAAGTTAGTGTATGTTAGCTTCTACTCCTGCTTTAGACAACATACAGAAAACGGTAACTCGTACTCGAGTAGTTCGGCAAGTTAGTGTATTTTAGCTTCTACACCTGCTTTAGACAACATACAGTAAACGGTAACTCGTACTCTATAGTAGTTCGGCAAGTAAGTGTATGTAGTTTCTACTCCTGCTTTAGACATCATACAGAAAACGGTAACTCGTAGTCTAGTAGTTCGGCATGTTAGTGTATGGTAGCTTCTACACCTGCTTTAGAGATCATACATAAAACGGTAACTCGTACTCTAGTAGTTCGGCAAGTTAGTGTATGCTAGCTTCTACACCTGCTTTAGACAACATACATAAAACGATAACTCGTACTCCAGTAGTTCGGCAAGTAAGTGTATGGTAGCTTCTATACCTGCTTTAGACATCATACATAAAACGGTAACTCGTACTCTAGTAGTTCGGCAAGTTAGTGTACGGTAGCTTCTACACCTGCTTTAGACAACGTATAGAAAACGGTAACTCGTACTCTAGTAGTTCGGCAAGTTAGTGTACGGTAGCTTCTACACCTGCTTTAGACAACGTATAGAAAACGGTAACTCGTACTCTAGTAGTTCGGCAAGTTAGTGTATGTTAGCTTCTACTCCTGCTTTAGACAACATACAGAAAACGGTAACTCATATTCTAGTAGTTCGGCAAGTAAGTGTATGGTAGCTTCTATACCTGCTTTAGACATCATACATAAAACGGTAACTCGTACTCTAGTAGTTCGGCAAGTTAGTGTATGTTAGCTTCTACTCCTGCTTTAGACAACATACAGAAAACGGTAACTCGTTCTCTAGTAGTTCGGCAAGTTAGTGTATGTAGCTTCTACGCCTGCTTTAGACAACATACAGAAAACGGTAACTCATAATCTAGTAGTTCGGCAAGTTAGTGTATAGTAGTTTCTACACCTGCTTTAGACAACATACAGAAAACGGTAACTCGTGCTCTAGTAGTTCGGCAAGTTAGTGTATGGTAGTTTCTACGCCTGCTTTAGACAACAAACAGAAAACGGTAACTCGTACTCTAGTAGTTTGGCAAGTTAGTGTATGGTAGCTTCTACACCTGCTTTAGACAACATACAGTAAACGGTAACTCATATTCTAGTAGTTCGGCAAGTAAGTGTATGGTAGCTTCTATACCTGCTTTAGACATCATACATAAAACGGTAACTCGTACTCTAGTAGTTCGGCAAGTAAGTGTATGGTAGCTTCTACACCTGCTGTAGACAACATACAGAAAACGGTAACTCATATTCTAGTAGTTCGGCAAGTAAGTGTATGGTAGCTTCTACACCTGCTGTAGACAACATACAGAAAACGGTAACTCATATTCTAGTAGTTCGGCAAGTAAGTGTATGGTAGCTTCTACACCTACTTTAGACAACATACAGAAAACGGTAACTCATATTCTAGTAGTTCGGCTAGTAAGTGTATGGTAGCTTCTATACCTGCTTTAGACATCATACATAAAACGGTAACTCGTACTCTAGTATTTCGGCAAGTTAGTGTATGGTAGTTTCTACTCCTGCTTTAGACATCATACATAAAACGGTAACTCGTAATCTAGTAGATCGGCAAGTTAGTGTATGGTAGATTCTACACCTGCTTTAGACAACATACAGTAAACGGTAACTCATACTCTAGTAGTTCGGCAAGTAAGTGTATTGTAGTTTCTACTCCTGCTTTAGACATCATACATAAAACGGTAACTCGTACTCTAGTAGATCGGCAAGTTAGTGTATGGTAGATTCTACACCTGCTTTAGACAACATACAGTAAACGGTAACTCATATTCTAGTAGTTCGGCAAGTAAGTGTATGGTAGTTTCGACTCCTGCTTTAGACATCATACATAAAACGGTAACTCGTACTCCAGTAGATCGGCAAGTTAGTGTATGGTAGCTTCTACGCCTGCTTTAGACAACATACAGAAAACGGTAACTCGTAGTCTAGTAGTTCGGCATGTTAGTGTATGGTAGCTTCTACACCTGCTTTAGACAACATACAGTAAACGGTAACTCATATTCTAGTAGTTCGGCTAGTAAGTGTATGGTAGCTTCTATACCTGCTTTAGACATCATACATAAAACGGTAACTCGTACTCTAGTATTTCGGCAAGTTAGTGTATGGTAGTTTCTACACCTGCTTTAGACATCATACAGAAAACAGGTAACTCGTACTCTAGTAGTTCGGCAAGTAAGTGTATGGTAGTTTCTACTCCTGCTTTAGACATCATACATAAAACGGGAACTCGTACTCTAGTAGTTCGGCAAGTTAGTGTACGGTAGCTTCTACACCTGCTTTAGACAACGTATAGAAAACGGTAACTCGTACTCTAGTAGTTCGGCAGTATGTTTCAGTGAGGTAGCACTATAAAGCCGGCTTCAGTTCCGCGCTATCACAAGGAGACAAACACGAACATAGCACAGCCTCCCAAAACACACACACATACACTACACGCATGCATCTTGCACACAGGGGAGGCCGTTCTTAAATGACCGAAGCTGTTGATAGGACGTTAAACAATACTTAACCAAACCAAACCCAATGTCGGCGATACTCTACACTGAAATTGTATTAGAGGCAAACATTACAGGTGTAGCTTTAGTCATTATGGTAGCGTTCTGTGGCAAGCAGATAAAAAAGACAATTCCTGCTGGAATTTGAACCCCGGCCTTTGAAAGACAGCGTTTATACGTACCAGACCAATTAAACCCACAGACATGTCTTTATTTATTAAGATCTTCATCAAATGGTAATTATCTTTAGATACATGAATAGTAAGTAATATATATAATTTGATTTGGTGAGCGTATTTTTCTGAAAACCTTCGAAAGCAATATTAAATAGGTGTTTCTGAATGCATTTTTAATCAACCGTGTGTAAAAATGAAACCTGACTATTCGGAATGAAAGCATCAGTCCAGGGTTCGAATGATCACAAGCTCGGGTTTATGTAATGCTAACGTAACATTTCATATGGTAAAAATATCAAAATTCATATATAAACTACAGGGGATTCCTGATGGTAGACTGAGGGGAAATAGTAACTTTTCAGTACATTTTGAAAAGATGTATTGAACAAATCTTTTTTCAAAATATACTCTGAAGAAGTCGGCCAATCTGTTGTTTACTTAAGACATGTTTTACTGTAGATTGACGTCTGTATTGTTACAGCTACACTGCTGCGGTCTGAGTGACAATGAGGACGGTTACAAAGACTGGACCGATAACATGTACTTTAACTGTACCCCAACAGGAAAGAGTCCAGAGAAGTGCTCAGTACCGCCGTCATGTTGTAAATTAAAGCCGGTAAGTAGTAGTTTATATACAATCTGTTACTCATGTTGCAATAGCCAGTGAATTATGCTGTAAATATAAGTATATTAATTTTACTGCATACTTCCCACCTCTCACAATGGAAAAGTGTGGGCAATAAATCACTTGCTACCACAGTCCACTGCACACATAATCCCCTTTCAAGGCCAATCATGATTACATGACCATGAAAGGGGGTGTGCCCAGTGGACTGTGGCCACAAATGCTGTAAGAAAGGGGAGATAATCAATCAGTGAGTAACGATGAAGTCAATACAGTAGAAAGGATAAACTTAGTTGACACATTTAAAATAAGGGGGAAAAAATGAAAGTTAAAAATGGTAATTTCATGATTGAAAAACACAAAAAGATTTCCTTATCACGTGAGAGGATAAGCATTTCCCGGAAAAGTTTATAATCTTAAGGAGCTGTTCCTTTATACAAAATTGCACATTCAAATATACCATTCATTGAAAGAACTGGAATTCCTTAGGGATTAATAAACCCTTACATTGTATATATGAAAATGGTTTCAATATCCTGTACCTTTGCCACATCTTGAAAATTAAACTGAAAATGTAGTCATAAATTCAACATTGTTTCCCGTATTTTAAACAGACACTTCTTACCTTCCCTGACACTGGACCTGGATAGTAATCCAAAAACACTTGTATCCATTATGAAGGATACACTCAGACTGGGCTATTGACAATCTTACCTGGTTATGATTAGTACTCACTCACACAGGTACATGTAGATTATCTGCAGTGTAGCTATGGTAGGTAAAAAGATTGTCCAGGTGAACATTTTTTACTCAACTTTTCTGTTTTGTTCGAGTTGGGAAGCATGCAGTAAGCCAGTTATTGCATGATTTCTCGTCACTCGGGACTTATTACACCCTCGCTTCGCTCGGGTGTAATAAATCCCTTGTTACTCGAAAACCATGCAATAACCTTTACGTATATTAATTATGTTGTTAGCTGATATATGTAATTCGGCTCATTCCCCGAACAACAACTCTGGAGAATTGAAAGAAAGGTGTTTATATAGGAGATCATTTGAAGTTTAGTTATAGCCCGTTTCAACTAAGAATGTCAACTCATTTTGTAGATATGATACTAAAGTCAATAACAAAATGGATAAAAAGTTTTTATTTCCTACATATAACTGTAATACACATTTAATACAGCACTAAGTAATAGAAAATAATCATTAAATATTAATTTTTACATTATATATGAAAACCAAAATTCCTAAATTGAAGCCACATTGATACTAATGGCAGCAATAAAATACAGTTTCTATTCCTACATATAACAGTAATACACATTAAATACAGCACTAAAAGATAGCAATTATTAAACAGAAAACCTTTCTGGAGCTAAAGTAGATGAAGAATTTTGCATGAATCATGATGATTTTAGTTGGAAAGGATTTTTGGAAGTCAGAAGTTTTGCCAAAAAGTACAATATCTTCCTTTATTTCGAATATATGGTCAGTTTTTAAGTATATCCATCTACGTATGTCTTGCCAGAAGTTATTTGTTATTTGACACTGTTAAAAAAGATGTTCTATAGTTTCTTTGCTTTCTTTACATAAATCACATTGCTTGAATCCAATTATTTTCAAATAAAGAAGCCTGAAGGTGAACCAATGAATGCTAGTTTTAAGTCCATATATAAAGTTTTCTAAATCAATCATTTTGAGTCCACCCTCACTATAGTCTTGAACAATTGTTGAGCGTTTTATTCTATCAATTGGTGATTGCCAGACAAAATTGTATTTTTTTTGTTCAATGATTGAATTATGTCTTTACTTGGAGTAGGGAGAAATATAAACAGGTGATTTATTTTTGCAACGATAAGAGATTTAAGAACAGTTATTCTCCTTGTAGGTATTACAATTCTTCTTGACAATTGATGTAACTTACCATCTATAATACTAAATATTTTGTTGAAATTTACAGTAACCATGTCTTCTAAATTGACAGAGAAATCAATCCCAAGTAAGGTAAATTTGGTTGTTCCCCAAGTTGATTTACCTGTGCAATTTACCTGTACACTATTTCTGCAATAGACTATAACTCATTATCATCACAACTGGCCACCTATGTATACATGTGATTTTAAGCGGAGTTGGTATTCTGACAGGAAAGACCCCATGTAATTCATGTTGTAAAATATAGCCTGCGAGACGTGTTATAAACCGAATTATTTAAGTCGTGTTGTAAAATATAGCCTGCGAGACGTGTTATAAACCGAGTTATGTAAGTCGTGCTGTGAACTGATTTATATAATTCATGTTATAAAATATGATAGACGTGTTATAAACTGAAATCTGTAAACTAAAGTCAGTCAGTCGTGTTGTAAAGTAGTCTCTTTATAGTCATTACGTAAATTTAAACCGGTAAAAAATGCTGTTAAGTGCTGTGTGTCGTATTTTACCACACGAACGTCGTAGATTACACAAATCCGGCAGGAAAGTGTTTTGGTATACTATTAAGCCACGGTAAAATATGTAAGGTATCAGCATCCTTAAAGAAAAGGCATAAAGCCAGAGTAAAATGTGTAAGATAGCAGCATCCTTAAACAGAAGACAAACAACGTTAACCTACCAGTGGGACCTTAAACAGAAGACAAACAACGTTAACCTACTAGTGGGACCTTAAACAGAAGACAAACAGCGTTAACCTCCCAGTGGGACCTTAAACAGAAGACAAACAACGTTAACCTACCAGTGGGACTCACTTTGATGAACACGATGTTTACTGCTACGACATATACTTAAGCAATAAATGAAAATAGAATGGTGATTGACCAAATGTTGAATGAGCATTTCAATCATTATGAATTTTATGGTAGCAATTTTTGCATACATCCATACTTAACAAACATCGTAATTGACACCATCTCAATTTAACACCCATATTTGGTAACATGTATCTTTATTAACATATTGATATATAAATATGTATCTAATCAAAATGTATCAAATATCTTAGTTAAGACGCATACTTGATATGTTTTAAGCATACAATGTTTGTACAAAGTCCGGCTCTTTTTTAACAGAGATACTGACAATTGGGCAGGATTATAAACACTTTGTAATGTTGATGTTGTAGGGAGAATACATTAACATCCTGTGTGGCCGTGGGGTGATGAAACCCACTGATACCGTAAGTCACAGCCATCCAACTGTCCCATATTTATACTTTAAACTAGGTACATAGCCTCATATTGGAACTTTCCCAAGCTTTATGCCAAACATAGGAACTCGCTTAACTCGAATACTCGGATAACTCGAAGTTTCCCAACGATCCCGTCGACTTCGAGATAACGAGGTTCGACTGTATATGATTTGCAATCAAACCAGTGTAACTTTGTTATGTTCGGTGATTACTTTTGTCTCAATTAGGTTGAACGAATCCCATACAAGAGGGTATAGTTATCCAAACTTTCAATCCCATTATAAGCCCTATTTAAAAATAAACAAACCTCGGTGTTAATTCCGATGTTGAACTGGTGTCTTTAAAGTATGGGCTATGTTGATGGTGGATATACTATCTTTAAAAGCTTGTTAAACCTTATTCGAAATATGTTACATACAGGGTGGTGTCATCTCTCTGTCGGAGACAGCCAAGACGTTGGGGATTTACAAGGTGGGCTGTCTACGGGCTCTGGGGGAGTGGATCAACGACAACGCTATCGTCCTAGGAGGAATCATACTAGGAATTTTAATCCCACAGGTAAGACACCACCCTCGTGTTCTGGGGCGTCGTACAGAGTTCTTATCCCACAGGTGATGCCACTAACCTTGTCCTCTGTGGCCTCGTATAGGGAGTTCTTATCCCACAGGTAATGCCAATGACCTTGTCATATGTAGCGTCGTAAAGGGAGTTCTTATCTCACAGGTAATGCCACTGACCTCGTCTTCTGTGGCGTCGTATTGGGGTTGTTTTGTCACAGGTAAGGTCATCAGTCTCGTCTTCTGTGGCGTCGTATTGGGGTTGTTTTGTCACAGGTAAGGTCATCAGTCTCGTCTTCTGTGGCGTCGTACAGGGAGTTCTTATTCCGCATATAAGGCCATCACCCTCGTATGGAGAGTTTTCATATTACAGACAAGTACACCGCGCTCCTCTCCTGGGGCGTCGTACTGCGAGTTCTCACCCCATTGTTAAAAACACCACCCGTCTGTCGGGACATTCTATTAGGAATTCTCATCCCACAAATAACGATACTGTCGATGAGGATGATGTAAGGCAATAATGATGATGTCAGATGATAATGTTAAGAATATTATCATGTGATGATGATGACGATGATGGTGACGAGGGGGAAGATGTTAAGAATAATATCAGGAAGAAGAAGATGATGATGATGATGATGATGATGATGTTGTCTAGTGTGAGTGTAAAAGAAAACAAGATATCCAAGAGGGATCTTGACTCCCACCATTGTAACATATTCATTAGTTCTTTGTCAGTTTGATCTTTTCTCTTCTTTTCTCTTATCTGTTTGATCGAGTCATGTAAACAGTAAATGCACCTTGAGGTAATTTTTTATCTAAACTTAATACTGCTGTGTATAAAAGACAACCTTCAAAGTGAGTTTGTCGTTTCACATATTTACTAGTACAGTACTTGATATGAAAGAAACAGAACCGATCATTGCCATATGAGAAAGATCTGTTTAGTTCTTCCTTCGGCCATTTTGTTTTAATGATCAGTCTCAAAATATAACATGCACAACTATGGATCAAGGGAAACCTACATAACAAATTTAAGAAAGAACCCTCCAGTACTATCTGACAAAAAGCACTAACAAACCTTAACTGTCAAAATCATAGATTTGTAAATCCGATCAGTCTCATAAGAAAACATGCACAACAACAGCCCAAGGGGAACCTACATATCAAAGTTGAGAAATATCTCTCCAGTGCTTCCTAACAAAATAGCAATAACAAACCCTCACTGTCGAAATCCAAGATGGCTGCCTGTTGGACATTTTGTTTATCTGATCAGTCTCAAAAGTAAATATGCACTTCAAGGTTCTAAGGAGAACCTACATATAAAATTTGACAAAGATCCTTCCAGTACTTCCTGAGAAATAGCGATAACAAGAATTGTGTAAGGACGGACGACGGACGGACCACGGACCACGGACGCAGGGCGATTTGAATAGCCCACCATCATGGGCTAAAAACTAGTTTAAAACTTTAAAGACACCTTTGTTTAATGTGTATGAACAATCATGTACTAAAAAATCATGAACTTACGTATAATGTCATATATGTTTTGTCTTGTTTTGTAAAAACAAAACAAAATAATAATAATTAATAAAAAGGACACTGTCCTCCTTCTTTGGGGAATCATTATAGGAAGTCCAGTACCATATGTAAATACTGCTCTTGTCTGATCAGGCATTAAACTGAGAATTCCATTCCGACAGGTAATGACGATGTTGTCGTTCTGAGGTTTGTTATGCTGGTCTGAATTTGTTAACGCTGTAGTCACTCTAGATAACGGCCAAAAAATACATATATGCACGTACACTACGCTTGAATCCCACTTCAAAAGAGTCTGTCGATCAAGGATCCTACTCCATATCTGTGTTGCACCAGAAGTATCTTTGCTCAAGTAAAAACAAGCACCTTTGTATGTACGACACTGATATGCATTATGTGTCATATAATGACATTTCATTTTGTGTGAGAACGAAACTATGACTTGGTTAATTGGGAATGGTATTGTATTAACTCTTGACTTTTGTTTTCACAGATATTTATAATGTGTTTGGCCAGATCTCTAAGAGACCAAATCAATCTCCAGAAGATGAAGTGGAGGCGTTACCACCCTGGTCCATCACATGATGATCACTTCCACAAATGACACCGACGATTGTTACAAAAACAATCAAAACGAGTGAAATATTTTTACAACACGTGTTTTTGTCCGTGTTATATTGACATTGTTTCGAAGGCTACGATCTCAAAAGTTTTACTCGGTTAACGATTTGTCGAAATTAACAAAAACAGCGTCAAATGTTTCCGTAAACAGTGACGTCACAAATATCACGTGACAGGTGACAGTGCCATATCCATATGGCGGTTTCTTCAAACATTTCCTGAGTAACAAAGATCAAATTAACAAAATATTCAACAGTAATGGTCCATTTTTGACAGTCGCATACAATTCCGTGTATTTTAATTCTGGTAATTTACTCCAGATTGAGGAGGATGTATTATGTTTACAGGAACATTGACAACACAAAACTTATAAAAAAACAAAACCAAACAACTCATTCAACTGTAATGTCTCTGTTATAATTGAAAGGTTTTTATTTAAACTAAAACATATTATTGCATTATTACCGATACGATAGTTTATTTCATATTTAGTAAGAGCTGTAAATATCGAGAAATCTTTACTGCAACGGATTCCAAGATTCCTGTAACACAAGCAAAAAGTATGTATGTGTGACGTTTCGATGACTAGTACGGTATGCACTCTGTCACCTTTATCATATGTTTTTGTCTGATGAGGGTGACAGAGTACATACCCTACCAGTCATCGAAACGTCACATATGAACACCTTTTGGTTGTATGACAGGAATCTTTTCATAATTCATACTTACCAACCTGAAGAAATAACAGATTCCAAGTGACAGAATTGGTGATGAACATAATAATGGCTATTTTCATTTAAACCAACGTAAGTATTTTTGGATGCTATTGTTTGTTTAAGGTCTTCACAGCATAAAAGGCATTGCGTGATTCACTGTGTCGTATGTTATCTAGTCAACAACCAGACATGACGTAAATATTGATTTATATCAGCATGACATTTCCCTTTCTTTATCACCTGTTTAATTATGTTCGTTTTGGGCTTTGTGATTGCACACATTGTTGATTTGTTAGCTGATCTGTGATAGGGGCGGTATAACATTGAATGAAATAAATAATTTCTTTTGTTTTTTCTGTGTCTCGTGTCAATATCCTCGGGTTTACAAGATACCGCTTTCATTAACTGTGTCAACAATAGAAGCATTTAGTTTTTATTTTACAAATTTACTTTCTTTAAGAAATAAGTATTTAAGTAAAAAAACTTTGTTTACAGTGCAAAACGGTTGTGCATCGAATACCCGCATCCTATGAAGCCATGGCATTGCTAAGTAAAATATGCATACTACGAAATATATATATTCACACCTAAGTCTAGTAGTATGATCACAGTACAACATTGGAAATCATTTTCCAAGAAAGTATAATGTTCCGAATATCGTACGTGGAAATCTGACCACAGTACAATTCTGCGGAAAATAGAAATAACCCTGATCAAATAAACATATTGTGCATACCTTCAAGCGGAAACCAAGAACCTGATGATCACAGTACAATACTTGGATATATCTACACAAAAAGTTGTATCTTGGTTGATTAACAGTCTGACACTTAAAATACATTAACCTTCCGAGCAAGTACCTTATAATGTAGTACAATACTGTAACGTGCAGTCAAATCGGTTTAAGGTAATTGAGAAACATGGTGAATACCATACACAACTTCAAATGATCATCAAAAGTTTGACGAGTCTGTCGGAAAGGAGAGACGTCGGCAGTCCAAAAGTTTAACTCATTTTCTTTGACAAGATAACAAAAAATAAAATAAAAGTTTCAAACAGCCATCGGTCGCCCAATTTTGAAGAGGCCTTACTTTGACCAGAACGAAATGGAAGATTCGTTTTAACGTGTTTTCTTGTCCAAAATTCTGGGAAAAGTGAACGCCAATCTCAGCGACTTCAGGAACACTCGCATGGCTCTGCTGCACAATGTGCTTATCGTCTTGGCCCCTCAACACTTACCACCTGAGAGTGCACCATGACATTGCCGCGATCTCAGACAAAAACCCTTTACGTACTACTTGATTTGTCTGCCGTGTTTGATGTCATTGGTCATGATAAATTGTTTAAGCGTCTGGAATCTCCGCTTTTTTCACGAACAGCAGACAACGAGTGATAGAAGGCAACGCTCTCTTTGAAAAACTCCCGTGAAATCTAGCGCAGACACGAGCTTTCCTATGAGAATGATTTCTCAGTTCGATTGGAAGTATGTTTGTTGAATATCGGTTTCAGGATGACTTTCCCTACATATTCAAATTTAACCGGAAACAAAAAAAAAAAAGAATTCGTTGTGTTAACCCCGATCCATTTTTGAGGAAGTTGGGCGTCTTCTATTTTTTTTCTACTATGGAAAACAAGTCACTTAATCATGCTATCTGCAAGTTAGGTAATTAAGTTGCATCCATCAGTTTATGGCCACATTCGCCTGCAAGACATCACAAAACTAACTCGCAGTGGGCTTCATAGACATGAACGCTGTATGATTACATCTGACAAATAATGGACAAGCCTGTGGAAATGCGAAAATCGTCCGATATTTTGATGTTGAAGTGAACTGTTCTCTTGATGAGCGACCACTACGTCAAGGCTGAGATATCTACTGACCAGTTTTCCGTATGTACTAAGGATACCACGAGGGTCCTTGACCTTGTGCCAGCAGTACCATCGACCCTGCTATCATCAGTAACTACTCTTCAACCGGAGCATTAGAAAGGTGAACGGGCTTGATGGAATTCCAGCCCGCACTCTTAAACTCACATTCCAGAGATCACCAACTTATTTAGGATATATTTCATGCTGGCTCTTCGCGATTGAATGAAGGCTTTCATTCACTTACTTTCAAGAAAGGCGACAATTACAAGGCCGGAAACTATCGCCCCATCCTCCTGACGTCGATCCACAAGCTACTAGCGTACATTGTCTACACCAATGTGATTTATCACCTCCAGTAACACAGCTTGCAGTGCGATTACAAAGAGATCAACCAAGCGCCACTCGTGTGAAAGGCAATCCCATTTCCATTGGGAAATATTACAATGAGCTTATGCAAACGAGAGCATGTCGAAACAGCTCTACTGTAGTTTTCGATGGCGTTCGACAAAGAATCAGAACCGAAAGGTTACCGTGAAATCAACCAGCACGGCATAAGAGAGGAACACACTTTCATGAACAAGGGGCTTCCTAACAGACAGAACATAGGTTTTGCTAGAAAGACGATAGTGGACCACCTCACCAATTACATCGCGTGGGCCCCAATGGAAGTCTTTGGATCACTTCTCTTCCTGGCCTGCAGATTTTGCCATTCTGTGTAACATCTTACCATTGACCGACGACTGCCTCCTTTACACGAAGATCACTTCCCCACGAGACTCTTTCTTCTAGATGAAGGGACATCGACGGACTTAGGAAGTGGAAAGACAACTGGTTGACGAGCTTCATCCCATTACAAGTGCAAATGTGCGCTCCCATCCTGGTCAACAAGAGTGAGCGGTACAAGTTGGAATAACTTGTTTCATAATTGTTGCAATGTAAATAAAGTTTATATATAAGTGCGAGGTCATCTGCATTTTGAACAACTGAAGTCAACACACCATGGACAACATCAAGTTACTCTGACAGCAGAATATCAAGCGGAACAAGCACATATTCAATCTTTTCATTCAACCTCAATAAATATCCTACTAACATCACGGCAACCTATATCAGCATGCGATCTATTGCTGAACATCTGACCAAGTGACAAGCTGAAGAAGGTCCAATGTAGGTCTACTCGCTGTGCATTGTATCGCTGTAAATCGAAGACATTCAACAAATATAGCAGCTACACTCCCTTGTTGATGGTATTATTGCTGTTGTGTTTCGTTGAGGGGCGTAGGGTTCAGGCACTTAACCTTACCATAGGGTTCAGGCACATAACCTTACCGTAGGGTTCAGGCACTTAACCTTACCATGTACTATCATTGCTCATTGCCTTTTTGTTATAACCTCGGGAGCATACTTCCAGGAGACTACACAGACAGGGGCTCTGTACAAATCGCGACACCTCCAGCTACCGGCTCGACAGCTGAGCTCTCCATACAATTTTTGCTCTTTTGGGTTAAATCTGCCACTTAGGTATGTAACCAGCCCAAATCATCACGTGTTCTGGCTACATCCGCAGATTCTTTTCACCACAGCATATGCAACGTTTTATATACAAAAGCAGATTTTTTTTCTCTCTCGACATTCTCATCACAAAATTAACAATCATATATCCTGAGTCTGTATTCAAGAAACCGTTGTCGATCGAAAAGTAAAGTCTAGACACTGAAAAAGGTAATCGGATATAACTCTATCCAAAACTTTTCTCATTAACAAAATTTGGATTTTCATTTCTTTATCACTGGTACAAGAAACTTAAGAGTTTGTGAATGAATACGGTTTCATGAATAAGGGCCTTGAAATGAAATATTAACGTACCACACACAAATGTGATTGCATCATTAAAATCTGGTCATGTGGGTACAGCAAGACAAAATGAATTGCCCTGCGTCATAAAGCTGTTACGTCCTTCTGTCACTAATCGGTGAAGCTAGGGGCCAAAAAGTTGGAAAATCCAACAATTTAAAAGGATGAAAAAAAAAGACATTCTGTAAAATCACCAAACACAAACCCCGATAACCAATTAATTACTTTATTTGATTGTCTTGTACTTTACAAGATACTGCTTTAACAATCGCAAATAAAATACGTTTCAAACGAAAAATGTCAATTTCATAGCTCTGCAACCTTACGTGATAAATAAGAAGAGTTTGTATCTGATATATCAAAATGAAATATCACAGTTAGGAGATAGAATGAGCGGTACGAGTCAGTCCAGTCTTCCGAGGACAAGATGTGCTTTCCATTGCTTATGCATCACCAACGATATCTTATATACTGTCATACGCATTGAAACCTTTATAAGTCAAACAGGAACTAGATGTCACTGCTTGAAGTTCAATGAATGCAAAATGAACTTTTACACACATTCCATGGTACAAAAGCATATAAGGATACCACTACGCACACGATAGCGGACACAGCGGTGTTTTGAATGCAATGCTTCCTCAAATGTACAGACAATAACTGACACATATCCAACACAGAGAAACAGGAACATAACTGTCACAAAGTGTCACCGTCAATGTAAGTACAGCAGATGAACTGCTTGTTACCCGGGAATATATTTATTGCAACCTTTAAGGCTTCTGACAAAAGGTACTGATTCTCGATATAACTGACAATGAGAACATGCCAATACTATTTATATGTTGGTAGTACGTTGTGTATATTGAAAAAATGCCATTGGAAGTGAAACTAAAGAGCTATATTAAAACAGGCAGTGAAACTATTTAAAATATTGACGTAGCAAGTCGGATGGAAGGCAGAATGCAGGACATAACATCGGCTCGTGGAAAGTGACCTTCTTACTAGGGCCCGGAACATGTTTAATTACTACTTGTGAGCGTTAACTGGTAAAATTTAGAAATCTAAAACATAAAGGAGACGCATGTTGTGGTAATACTATTTTCAGGCAATATGATATTTTATTCAACTGATGATAAAATATTTAACTCTACCAGAAAGAAATCTTCTTGATACAAAGATAAAAAGACTAACAAGGATAAATGTGTCGACAAACAGAAAACAAATGTCATCAGTGTCGAAAATGATAAAATAATTGGGGTGAATACGTTATTTTACGAGATTTTTTTTTACACTTGAACACACACACACTCCTTAAAATTCCGTAATCAATTTAATAAATTAAAACTTCTGGAGGCTGACAAGGTTAGCCCTAAGCATTATTAATTGTGAAAAAGCACAAAAAAATCGACTACCCGGTAAATCCCAGGAAAGACAAACGACGTGGCCAAATATCCAGATATCAGATATGTGTAGGACTTGAGGAATTTAGCACCAGATAAGCAATGGCGGATCCAGAGGTTTTTTTTGGTCTTCAGGAAACCCACCCACCCTGAGAGTTTTCTTTAAAAAACATATATTTTCACCATTTTCCTTAATTTTCCCCACATGGAAACCCCCCTTGGAAATTTGGAAACCCTCCCAGATAGGTCTCTGGATCCGCCACTGATAAGGATGACCAAATTGAACGAAGAACAAAAGCCCACAAGCTAGACGAGAGGTATACATATCATTGAGGTAAAAATTAGAACTTAATACTGTAAATAAAATGTCAGCTTCTTTCAGTATGTATGAAAAACATAAGTGGTAGGTATCTTTTAAAAAAACACACTGTTCTCAAAGGTGTTTTAATCCCTTTTGAAACACCATATGCCTTTCAAGTTATAAATATAAGATTTTACATGAGTTTCCATTTCATATGAGATTTATAAAAACGAGTCTAAGAATTTAAATTTAGGGACCCTCTGGCGAGCTAAAATGAAAAATTTGTGACGAGTTTCATAAATTTTATATGAAATGAAAACGAGTGTAAGATACTTTTTATCAAATCAAGATTTATGGCATTTATTCGTGTAAAACGACAATTTTTATGCAACCTTGAAATGTAAAATGCCGCCATTTTGACTCCAGTGCGTAAGTATGTGACGTCATGTACTTGTCCTAGGCATGATGTCACAATTGAAACTTACAACCAATCACAGGGCTGAGAGATCATATAACATGGGTTAACCCTTGTAGTGTTACTACAGCCTTTTGGCTGTCTTGATAAGCGCTAGGTATTTCCCGGCGATAATGAAAAAAATATCAATAAATGCACAATCCCATGACTTAAATAGGTATTCAATAGGAAGCTATATATCTTTGCATTTGTTTTTCATAAAATCTTTAATACAGTTATCCCTGCCGTCTCTGTATCGAGAGGTAAATCCCTGTCAACTGCGCTTTTTCCAGAATATGCGATATGCCAGGGGGATATGGGTTGGTGCCAGGGGGATATGGGTTGAAGGGGAATATGGGTTGGTCTGGATTATGGTCTATCCACATCTAGCAGTATTGCACATGCGAAACATATGAAGGACAACTATATACCATTAATTATTATATACTTTTATTTCATAAGGATTGTTTTGCATGTGTGATACCGCTAGCTGTGAACAGGCCACATCCCAGATCCACCAATATCCACCCCCATCTGCCATAACTGTTTTACATCAGGTTCAACACATTTCAGAAAAGAAATAACACTTGATTTGCATTATAACTAATAATATTTTGATGTTTACCGCAAGTAGTATATGATAAAAAGGTTATATCCTCAGCTGCACAATTCTTGAACTATATCAGTCCTTGGGCCTCAAGCGCTTAAGGCTGGTATAGAAGAAATGATAACTTCTATGAACCTAGCATATAGGTATACATTTATTGTCCTTGTGGTAGGCAAACAAGTTTCCTTGCTTCCCTGTGATTAATCAATGTTTCAGAAGGGTGAAACATTATATAAAACATGGAATATTTATCCAGGTAACATACCTGGTAATTAAAATAACATTAAAATTTGGGTGAATATTTACTGGTAGCATCAGCTGTTGTTATCATGTTGTGACCCTCCATCGTGGCCACTCCATTGCTGTGTAGTATCTAGGTGCTCAGTTTGACTGTACTGTCGACTGTAACTACCCTTTAAATCTTGACCATCTCTTGATCTGTGGCTACGGTTGTACTTATCACTTTGATGTCTGTCTGACCTCTCATGACTTTGACGTCTACCTGACCCCTCGTGATCTCTAAAGTTTTGCGAATGGTATGGCTGATGAGTGTGTTGACCACTGTTTGAGTGTTGCCAGCCTCCCTGGTGTGCCATCCTCCAATCACTGTCCAAGGACCTTACGTTCTGTTGACCCCTGGAGTCCTGCCCTTGACCTTTGTAACTATCACCCTGACATCTACCTCCCTGGTGCGCCATCCTCCAATCACTGTCCAAGGACCTTACTTACTGTTGACCCCTTGAGTCCTGCCCTTGACCTTTGTAACTATCACCCTGACATCTACCTCCCTGGTGCGCCATCCTCCAATCACTGTCCAAGGACCTTACGAACTGTTGACCCCTGGAGTCCTGCCCTTGACCTTTGTAATCATCACCCTGACATCTACCTCTCTGGTGCGCCATCCTCCAATCACTGTCCAAGGACCTTACGTACTGTTGACCCCTTGAGTCCTGCCCTTGACCTTTGTAACTATCACCCCGATATCTAGAGCCCTGACCGTGCCCTCTATATTCATGCCTCTGACTCTTATAATTCTGATCTTGGGAATCCCAGCCACCCAATTCATTTTGCATGTCTCTCTTTCCTTCCTCTATCTCAAAAGTGTATTCACCATAAGGATATCTATCCTCATAGGTGGGCTCATATCTAGCATTGTCGTGGTAAGCGTCCGTGTGGTAGCTTTTACTATGGCTATCAGAATGTCGGTCATGCCAATGATAGGTATCTTGATCACGGCTTCCAGAACGTGGATCACAGTGTCTATGGGCATCGTTACAGTGGCTACCAGAACCTTGGTCGTCATTGTTGTGGAAGTCTTTACCTTGACTACCAGAGCGACCTTGTTGTTGTCTTTTAGAGTGTGAATGGTATGTAGATTGGGGTTTCTTCTGTTCAAGTTTATGCCTCTCTTCATTCTTGTAGCCTTCCAAACTGAAAAGAAACCAGACAAACTTGTGCAACATTTACAGTCATAGTTAACACTAATGTATTAATTACAGACAGGTATTTCTTAACAAAGGGGTCTGTGTAGACAGGTATTAGTTGTAAATGTCACCCTTATTGACAGGAATTAACTTTACATAGACATATTTAATAGACAGGTATTAGTTGTAAATGTCACCCTTATTGACAGGAATTAACTTTACATAGACGTATTTAATAGACAGGTATTTGTTACGCAAAAATGGTATTTACAGACTTACCTTTATGGACATGTATTCGCGATAAATAAATTGCCATCAGACAGTAATTATATATGTAAAAGGCGATCATAAATAGGTATTTCCTACAGAGAAGGTGTTTATTTACATGGCAGGTTTGACTGTACTACAATGATGTGATAACCTACAGAGTTTTGGTGTGTAGATTAGCCAGGTAGTTCTCGCGCTCCAAGTCATGGCCTCTGGCAGCATTGAACACTTGAAAGAGGAAGAAAATGATTGCAATAAGTACTTCTAAAATAGTTCAGTTCAGCTGCAAGTACAGAGTAACAAAATCTTACACTAAATAACCAAGTGACTTCCATTGATAACTGCAGAAGGATCAGGGCCCTGGCTATTCTGTATTACAGTAGAGTTAAAAACCATATGACATTTCTTTTCATGGATAAATAGTGGATTGTAAAGTTGAAAGAGTAATGAGAAATATTTTATAAATATACTTCATGACATTGACATTGAGCACAGCATCATCAACAGCTAACTCATTCAAGGTAATAACACTCATACACTAAAATTGTATCACAGTTCATGAAGATCTACTGGAAATTAAAGAACAGGACAGCTATTTATAAAATGATTTTTTCTTGACAAAAGCATACCTTGTATGGCTTCCTCTGGTTTAAAGGCTAAACGTTCTATCATGTACCTGTAACAGATAAATAGATGTTGGCTCATGATAGACTAAACGTCCTATCATGTACCTGTAACAGATAAATATATGTTGGCTCATGATAGACTAAACGTCCTATCATGTACCTGTAACAGATAAATAGATGTTGGCTCATGATAGGCTAAACGTTCTATCATGTACCTGTAACAGCTAAATAGATGTTGGCTCATGATAGACTCAACGTTCTATCATGTACCTGTAATAGATAAATAGATGTTGGCTCATGATAGACTAAAAGTTCTATCATGTACCTGTAACAGCTAAATAGATGTTGGCTCATGATAGACTCAACGTTCTATCATGTACCTGTAATAGATAAATAGATGTTGGCTCATGATAGACTCAACGTTCTATCATGTACCTGTAATAGATAAATAGATGTTGGCTCATGATAGACTCAACGTTCTATCATGTACCTGTAACAGATAAATAGATGTTGGCTATTGCATTATTCAGTAGCATGACACCTGAAACAATGTTTGTCGAGAGTTATCTTCCTTATCTGTCTGTGATCAGTTTTAAACCAGCCTGAAAATGAGATGAACTGATGACACACCTAGAGGAACAAGTAGATGGACTGTTCCAACACGCCTGTTTGTCTAATAGTACTTTGTATACATACTAAAGACAAGTGTTTGTTGGTAGAGCTGTACCAGATCTGACATGATAGATAACAGATACGCAACTGAATACTGACAGTAACACTTCATCTCTCTGTACTTCTGTGGAGATTTCTGGTAATTTCACCATTACTTAATGGCAGTAGGAATAGCATGATCATATAGGCTTATTATTAAAGATATACGACCACTGTCAAATGAAAAACATTGAGGTTGCCAATAGCTTAAAGATCAAAACCGAAAAATGTCTACATGCACCAAAGTTGATTTTTACACTGGTTAATATGATGCTATAATGAAGCGTGATAAAGATGAGTCTAGTACTGACCTACACACCATGTACCCAGTCCTGTTAACTCCGTGGGTACAGTGTACTGGCTGACATGGTGATAAAATGAAGTGTGATAAAGGGGAGTCCAGTACTGACCTGCATACCATGTAGCCATTCCTGTTGACTCCGTGGGTACAGTGTACTGGCTGACATGGCGATAAAATGAAGTGTGATATAGTTTGTGTCTAGTACTGACCTGCACACCGTGTAGCCAGTCCTGTTGACTCCGTGGGTACAGTGTACTGGCTGACATGGCGATAAAATGAAGTGTGATATAGTTTGTGTCTAGTACTGACCTACACACCATGTAGCCAGTCCTGTTAACTCCGTGGGTACAGTGTACTGGCTGACATGGCGATAAAATGAAGTGTGATATAGTTTGTGTCTAGTACTGACCTACACACCATGTAGCCAGTCCTGTTAACTCCGTGGGTACAGTGTACTGGCTGACATGGCGATAAAATGAAGTGTGATATAGTTTGTGTCTAGTACTGACCTACACACCATGTAGCCAGTCCTGTTAACTCCGTGGGTACAGTGTACTGGCTGACATGGCGATAAAATGAAGTGTGATATAGTTTGTGTCTAGTACTGACCTACACACCATGTAGCCAGTCCTGTTAACTCCGTGGGTACAGTGTACTGGCTGACATGGCGATATAATGAAGTGTGATATAGTTTGTGTCTAGTACTGACCTACACACCATGTAGCCAGTCCTGTTGTCTCCGTGGGTACAGTGTACTGGTTGACATGGTGATATAATGAAGTGTGATATAGTTTGTGTCTAGTACTGACCTACACACCATGTAGCCAGTCCTGTTGTCTCCGTGGGTACAGTGTACTGGTTGACATGGTGATATAATGAAGTGTGATATAGTTTGTGTCTAGTACTGACCTACACACCATGTAGCCAGTCCTGTTGTCTCCGTGGGTACAGTGTACTGGTTGACATGGTGATATAATGAAGTGTGATATAGTTTGTGTCTAGTACTGACCTACACACCATGTAGCCAGTCCTGTTGTCTCCGTGGGTACAGTGTACTGGTTGACATGGTGATATAATGAAGTGTGATATAGTTTGTGTCTAGTACTGACCTACACACCATGTAGCCAGTCCTGTTGTCTCCGTGGGTACAGTGTACTGGTTGACATGGTGATATAATGAAGTGTGATATAGTTTGTGTCTAGTACTGACCTACACACCATGTAGCCAGTCCTGTTGTCTCCGTGGGTACAGTGTACTGGTTGACATGGTGATATAATGAAGTGTGATATAGTTTGTGTCTAGTACTGACCTACACACCATGTAGCCAGTCCTGTTGTCTCCGTGGGTACAGTGTACTGGTTGACATGGTGATATAATGAAGTGTGATATAGTTTGTGTCTAGTACTGACCTACACACCATGTAGCCAGTCCTGTTGTCTCCGTGGGTACAGTGTACTGGTTGACATGGTGATATAATGAAGTGTGATATAGTTTGTGTCTAGTACTGACCTACACACCATGTAGCCAGTCCTGTTGTCTCCGTGGGTACAGTGTACTGGTTGACATGGTGATATAATGAAGTGTGATATAGTTTGTGTCTAGTACTGACCTGCACACCATGTAGCCAGTCCTGTTGTCTCCGTGGGTACAGTGTACTGGTTGACATGGTGATATAATGAAGTGTGATATAGTTTGTGTCTAGTACTGACCTACACACCATGTAGCCAGTCCTGTTGTCTCCGTGGGTACAGTGTACTGGTTGACATGGTGATATAATGAAGTGTGATATAGTTTGTGTCTAGTACTGACCTACACACCATGTAGCCAGTCCTGTTGTCTCCGTGGGTACAGTGTACTGGTTGACATGGTGATATAATGAAGTGTGATATAGTTTGTGTCTAGTACTGACCTACACACCATGTAGCCAGTCCTGTTGTCTCCGTGGGTACAGTGTACTGGTTGACATGGTGATATAATGAAGTGTGATATAGTTTGTGTCTAGTACTGACCTACACACCATGTAGCCAGTCCTGTTGTCTCCGTGGGTACAGTGTACTGGTTGACATGGTGATATAATGAAGTGTGATATAGTTTGTGTCTAGTACTGACCTACACACCATGTAGCCAGTCCTGTTGTCTCCGTGGGTACAGTGTACTGGTTGACATGGTGATATAATGAAGTGTGATATAGTTTGTGTCTAGTACTGACCTACACACCATGTAGCCAGTCCTGTTGTCTCCGTGGGTACAGTGTACTGGTTGACATGGTGATATAATGAAGTGTGATATAGTTTGTGTCTAGTACTGACCTACACACCATGTAGCCAGTCCTGTTGTCTCCGTGGGTACAGTGTACTGGTTGACATGGTGATATAATGAAGTGTGATATAGTTTGTGTCTAGTACTGACCTGCACACCATGTAGCCAGTCCTGTTGTCTCCGTGGGTACAGTGTACTGGTTGACATGGTGATATAATGAAGTGTGATATAGTTTGTGTCTAGTACTGACCTGCACACCATGTAGCCAGTCCTGTTGTCTCCGTGGGTACAGTGTACTGGTTGACATGGTGATATAATGAAGTGTGATATAGTTTGTGTCTAGTACTGACCTGCACACCATGTAGCCAGTCCTGTTGTCTCCGTGGGTACAGTGTACTGGTTGACATGGTGATATAATGAAGTGTGATATAGTTTGTGTCTAGTACTGACCTGCACACCATGTAGCCAGTCCTGTTGTCTCCGTGGGTACAGTGTACTGGTTGACATGGTGATATAATGAAGTGTGATATAGTTTGTGTCTAGTACTGACCTGCATACCACATAGCCAGTCCTGTTAACTCCGTGGGTACAGTGTACTCCTATCACAGCGGCTGAAATGCACAATTTTGTTCAATAAGATTAATAATTTTTGAATTATACTATATCAAAGTTTTACCTTATACAAAAACAATGTTTGTCATAGCGTGACAAAAGGACCAGTTGGTCTAGAAACATTGCGACACATTTGATACGTACATTGTTTGTGTATAAGGTAAAACTTTGATTTTGTTGTTTTTTGTTTGTCTTTTTTGCCTGGTATAAAAGTGCATTGGCTATTTTCAATAAGTGTAGATTTACTAATGTCAGTGCAAAAACACCATGTAAGCATATCATATTTTGGGATATTTTGGATGCGCTTTTATTTTGGTTTATTTAGCGCTTCCAGTGAAATTTAATTCACCAAAATTTCAGCAGATTTTGCCTATGTACAAACCAATTTGTATTGCTCATCAACAGACTTCCACACCTCCTGATAGCATATTAAGTTATTAGCCACATTGTATAACAAAACACTAGCAATTAACAACCTTTTATAAATATTATGTTCATAGCAAACACATTATTAGTGGCTTCTCAGTTTAGCTATAAAACCTGTTTCACTGTAAATGTATCAAGTTCAGAAGAGGAAAACAAGTAAGTAAATGTTACCATCATCACTTTCAGCTTTAGTTGTTTCAACAGCATCAAAAAACCTGCAAAACAAAACAACTTGTTATCCCATATCTGTCTCATAACTTGTCATATACATTTAAACTAGAAAATGTCTGTAAGACATGAATGCCCCCGTCACCATATGAAATTAGTTTCAGTGTTTGATGTTTGACAGGACAGGACGCGACGAACATGGGCAACACTAAATGCCCCCCCCCCCCCCCCCCCCCCAATTTTATGGCAGGGTATAAAAACAAATCTAAGAATATCTCAAAACACATTTTTACAATGATTATACTGGTAAAGCATCAAGTGCCAACGTCATTACTCTTTGAGCATACATCATGTGATACAATCTTTATGCTACTGCGAGTCCTGTCGTCAAAATCCAAGGGTTCTGTTCTTGATACACAAGTTTTCTCTACACCTTTGGAATATATCATGATGAAATATAACACTTGTGGTAAGATAAATTAACTTCATGTATACAAATCTGACTGACCGCTGGTGTGTGCCTGTCTTTGAAGATCACAGAGCAGCGACACCCAACATCAAAGCTTTGATGTCACATTAACTGTTACGCTGCTGCTGGTTCTTTTTACACCACATCAACGACATCAATCTAGTCTACTTGCATCGTCTCATGTCATGTAAAGAGCCTTTGATTTTGTCATAACATATTCTAAAGCTGTAGAGAAGATATGTACATCGAAACCAGAATCTGGATTTCAAAGATGACCCACTTCTTGGTTAATCCACTCACCTATGGACCACATCGTCTGAAGGTATCACATGTCCCTCTGTAAAAATTTTGAGATATTCAACTCCATTTTTTGTGAAATCCTGCAAATAATAAATATAGCATATATATATATTTTAAAGATGTGTGCGGTTGCAGTTATGAATAAAATTTAAACTTTGTTTAATCAAAGGGTTTCTAGGGAGGCTAAACAGATACATCTACACCTACTTACTTACTCTAGAGCTAATTTCTTCACCTACTTATAATTTGAAAATGTTTGACAATATGACGATGGCAATGTTGTGTTTCTTTATGAGATAAACAATTACCTGCAGAACTGTAAGACAATGGATAGATTAAGTATGCCTTACTCATTCATTCCTAATAATAATTAATAAATTACACCCCTGCCATTTTCTTTAGTTGGTCCTCTATACAACATTGATATACTTGGCACAGGGATATCTCATACCATATAAGGTAAGTCTGTCAAAGATTTACCTCTATTTCCCCTATTGGGTTCCACTTCTTTGCCCCTAGGTGCTCACTCATCATTTATACAACATTATATCTTTGACCCAGTGATGCTTTATTCCATCTTGGATTGAAATCTCTCTCTTCTACTTCTACTTCTAAATGGTGCTGACCAACTTCAACAATTTGAAGATAAAATGTCAGACGAGGAGGGAAACATGGAGAGAGATTGTTTTTAAAAGATACAAGAGGTCTAATTTGCATTTGAAAAGTGACAGTGGAGGGCTGATTTGAATAATTCTGTTGTGGGGCTCGTAATAATGTCAGGTGGGAGTTTATTCCACTCGGGTATAGTTCGAGGGAAGAATGATGCCTTTCTGGTCTGGGTTTTTGGGTGGGGAATTTGATATGAAAACTGGTGGTTTGTTCGGGATTTTCTAACTGTAGGGATTAATCTGTCTGATTTTACGATAGCGACTTTCTGGTTTACAATGTTATGAAGCATGGTCAGAAGAGCATCTCTATGTCTATCTGCTAGAGGGCGCAGCTTTTAGGTGGTCCAACATTTCTGACACACTGTACTTAGGAGTAGCCCTTTAAAGATTGTCACTTCCTCAACCCCCCCCCCCAATAGGTTGAACCATTTCTAAATGAAAGGTCAACAACAGATAGTCAGACAGTTGAGGCAACATGGCATAACATTCACTCCTGAAATAGCATAATGAATTATTCCAACCATTGAATTGGAAGAGTTCAGATGTGTCTTCAGGGGTGAATGAGTTAAAAATAGGGGAAAACTCTGAGGGATATTGCTGTCAGTAATTAATCTTTGCAGTGTGTTCATCTCTTTCAGTTATTCCATTTGTTTACTGCAGACTTCTTAAATTCATCTGTTTGTTTAAATCTAATTCTAATTTTGAATCCTTTCCCACTACATTGTGCTTTGAAAATAAAGTTATTTGAGAAAAAGTCTGTATGGTAATACTTTCCTGACAGCAGCAACATCACATGACAATTTTACACCTGTGAAGTAATGATTGGTCGTGACAGTCATGTGACAATACTCACGTCGGTGAAATAGTACTTCTTAGTGAAGGTGAGGTCTATCACCAGTTTTAGTTTTTTCTGTTCTTTCTCTACGTGATCTATCAGCTGTTTTGGAGTGAACCTGTGAACAAATGTTTCATGTTATTATCAGCCTCGCAGCTATTGGAGTAAATGTTTGGAAACTTGAAAGTTTGGTCTACTTCATCCTATACTTCTACGTCCATGTAACCCTTGTATAAAGGTTCAAATAGCAGAACCAGAGAAATGTTTATATTGTGATTTTTAATGACTAGTACGATATGTACTCTCTCACCTTGTCCGATGAAGGTGACAGATTGTACTAGTCAACCTCATCGAAAATTTGCATATAATAAACAAGTCACCGAAATGTCACATATAACATTCACTTGTTGTGCTACATATGGGCCTGTATACCATCTACCCTTACCAACCCGGAGAGAAATATCATCTGTATACCATCTACCCTTACCAACCCGGAGAGAAATACCATCTGTATACCATCTACCCTTACCAACCCGGAGATAAATATCATCTATATAACATCTACCCTTACCAACCTGGAGAGAAATGTCCCATATAACCATGTTTACAACACTTAACCCTGTATTTCTATATCACTGTAACCATGTTTACAACACTTAACCCTGTATTTCTATATCACTGTAACCATGTTTACAACACTTAACCCTGTATTTCTATATCACTGTAACCATGTTTACAACACTTAACCCTGTATTTCTATATCACTGTAACCATGTTTACAACACTTAACCCTGTATTTCTATATCACTGTAACCATGTTTACAACACTTAACCCTGTATTTCTATATCACTGTAACCATGTTTACAACACTTAACCCTGTATTTCTATATCACTGTAACCATGTTTACAACACTTAACCCTGTATTTCTATATCACTGTAACCATGTTTACAACACTTAACCCTGTATTTCTATATCACTGTAACCATGTTTACAACACTTAACCCTGTATTTCTATATCACTGTAACCATGTTTACAACACTTAACCCTGTATTTCTATATCACTGTAACCATGTTTACAACACTTAACCCTGTATTTCTATATCACTGTAACCATGTTTACAACACTTAACCCTGTATTTCTATATCACTGTAACCATGTTTACAACACTTAACCCTGTATTTCTATATCACTGTAACCATGTTTACAACACTTAACCCTGTATTTCTATATCATGGTAACCATGTTTACAACACTTAACCCTGTATTTCTATATCACTGTAACCATGTTTACAACACTTAACCCTGTTTTTCTATAGCACTGTAACCATGTTTACAACACTTAACCCTGTATTTCTATATCACTGTTACCATGTTTACAACACTTAACCCTGTATTTCTATCTCACTGTAACCATGTTTTAGAGTACAGTGTACCAACTGTATTTCACATGTAACTGTTGTTTAAAATTTGACCAAGAGGACTTTGTTTCTATTTAAGAAACCCAAATAGCCTGTATCAGTCAGATGTTATTTAAAGGTGTTGGCAAAATATATTCATTGCTGAAATAGTAATGCTCATGAGAATATGGCAACCATATATAGTATGAACATTTATCTTACTAACTTGATTTATTATCTTACTAACTTTGATTCATTATCTTACTAACTTTGATTCAATATCTTACTAACTTTGATTTATTATCTTACTAACTTTGATTCATTATCTTACTAACTTTGATTCATTATCTTATTAACTTTGATTCATTATCTTACTAACTTTGATTTATTTTCTTATTACTAACTTTGATTTATTATCTTACTAACTTTGATTCATTTTCTTACTTACTTTGATTCATTATTTTACTTACTTTGATTCATTATCTTACTAACTTTGATTCATTATCTTATTAACTTTGATTTATTTTCTTACTAACTTTGATTTATTATCTTACTAACTTTGATTCATTATCTTATTAACTTTGATTCATTATCTTACTAACTTTGATTCATTATCTTATTAACTTTGATTCATTATCTTACTAACTTTGATTAATTATCTTACTAATTTTGATTTATTATCTTACTAATTTTGATTCATTATCTTTCTAACTTTGATTCATTATCTTATTAACTTTGATTCATTATCTTACTTTGATTTATTATCTTACTAACTTTGATTTATTATCTTATTATATTTGATTCATAATCTTACTATCTTTGATTCATTATCTTACTAACTTTGATTCATTATCTTATTAACTTTGATTCATTATCTTACTAACTTTGATTTATTATCTTACTAACTTTGATTCATTATCTTACTAACTTTGATTCATTATCTTATTAACTTTGATTCATTATCTTACTAACTTTGATTTATTATCTTACTAACTTTGATTCATTATCTTACTAACTTTGATTCATTATCTTATTAACTTTGATTCATTATCTTACTAACTTTGATTTATTATCTTACTAACTTTGATTTATTATCTTACTAACTTTGATTCATTATCTTATTAACTTTGATTTATTATCTTACTAACTTTGATTTATTATCTTACTAACTTTGATTTATTATCTTATTAACTTTGATTCATAATCTTACTAACTTTGATTTATTATCTTATTAACTTTGATTCATTATCTTACTTACTTTGATTCATTATCTTATTAACTTTGATTCATTATCTTACTAACTTTGATTTATTATCTTACTAATTACTTTGATTTATTATCTTACTTATTTTGATTTATTATCTTACTAATTTTGATTCATTATCTTACTAACTTTGATTCATTATCTTTCTAACTTTGATTCATTATCTTATTAACTTTTATTCATTATCTTTCTAACTTTGATTTATTATCTTACTAATTTTGATTTATTATCTGATTAACTTTGATTCATTATCTTACTAACTTTGATTTATTATCTTACTAATTACTTTGATTTATTATCTTACTTATTTTGATTTATTATCTTACTAATTTTGATTTATTATCTGATTAACTTTGATTCATTATCTTACTAACTTTGATTTATTATCTTACTAACTTTGATTTATTATCTTATTAACTTTGATTTATTATCTTACTAATTTTGATTCACACAGCTCTGCAGTCCATGTAAGCCGTACATACACAGGATAAGTAACTGATTTGATTACTGTTCAATCTTATTAAAATCATCTATTACATGGCTCCGCTAGCTTCGTAAAACATGAAATCAACGGAGGATTTTAATCAGATTGATCAATGTTGATAGCCCTTTACTTCAGCAAGCTAATGTAAACTTTTTAATACTTACCACTTTTCTGCAGGAACCAACCTCAAAAGTCCCTTCAAATTCAGAAATTAAGGTAATTTGAATTAGTTTCATATTTCTAATAATACAACCAAAGTTGAAAAACAAAATCACTGAAGTTGATACTCTTTCAAAAAACTGCACATTCTTATAAATGGATATGAAGATAGTCTGCCTTGGAGTGTGGATTCTTTTTAATTAATAATCTTAAAATTGTGTGAGAATTATGCAATACCAATATCATATCCATTTGATTGTAAAGTAAGGAGTTTTAGAATGATTTACCAATATAGATTATTGATATAAGATACAGGGTGGTAACATTAGCACTGGGGGTGGGGGTGGGGCTGGGGATGGGTGTAATTTCTTTGTTACGAGAATAAGTGACTATCTGGTATTTCACATATGCATGTGGAAGATAGGGAAATTGCACAAGAGGGGTTGAATGAATACGATAGTACCATTGTCTTCACCTTTGGATTTACTCCCTGTTCATAACTGAATACCTGGGTTGCTTTTGTTTAATGCAATTCAAACAGGTGGACCAGAGTTGTTCATTTATGAATTGAGATCGGACCTAATAATCTGATGCTGATTTTAGAAAAGCCTTGACAAAGCCTTCCGAGGCCTGCATAAATATTTGCAGGTCCCCCAGGATTTATACCCAAAAATGTGACATTTAAAAACAGACAAACCGGTTGTTCCGCATTTAAACGACCAGGCCCAAGGTATATGAAAAAGTTTTTTTTTTTATCTAAAGTAAAATAATGATCTAGATCTCAAAGCAGCTGCCCCCTGACTAAACATGACAAAGTCAATCTTCTGATTGTGGAAAACGGCATAAAGATATTGTCATCAAGTGCCGTAACAGTTACTTCCCTATTCATGTTAGGTATAGATACTTGAACCTGTACACATCTCACTTCAGATAGCTCTATATTACAAATATACTGGAAGGAGAGGAAGCACTATGATATATATATATCACACGCAAATGTAAAAGTTTCTTACATGTTTCAATGGTACTTTGAAGCACACAATGTTGGTTCCAGGAATAACTTTTCCACAGTTGGAATAGTCCAGCCACCTATAACATTAAAATACACACCCTTTAAACTGAAAATCAGACACCTCTGCTGGTGTGTTACCATTAAGGTTCCGTATGATCTACCAATTGATATAAACGTTCAAAATACAAGTTAAACTACATGCTATTCTCAAAATAAAGATGGACGTCTTTGTTTTTTAGCAATTAGTTTAAACATTGCTAAATATATTTCTGTAACAGCATACAAGAAATGTGACAAAACAGTTAACTTCATTCTATATTGATTCCGTGCATGTAGAAAAATAGCTTACCACCTTTTTTTAATCAGAGTTATCTTTAATTTGATACCAAAGTTCAATCATGTGACTAGTGTGTGGTTGGGTTTGTGTGACTATTCTAGAATTATATATTCTTTTCGTGAGTTATCTTGCAAAACATTGTTTTCATTAAAAAATTATAGGAGTAGTGAAATTTATGAAGCTGATAAAAATCAATGTTTGGGTACGCGCACCGAAACTGGTCACGTAATGGAAGCCTTTTTTATGACGATGACCGGACTCACTTAAGTTGTCATCGAATTCAGTAACCTGGGTGAAGTAATGTTTATTTAATTACCGATCAGGAGGAGGCATCTTCTGACGATATGTTATAGACTGATTGTAGGTGTCAAAAACAGAACTTCTCACTAGTTTCTGTAGAACATGCTGTAAAATCTTGGTCATCTTTATGCTTGAATTTCAGGAGAGTTCGATTGTAAATAGGTTGATTGTTAAGGTGGAGAGTCCCTACCCTCTGTTGTACTTTTGACAATTTGCTCGAAAAACTTATCTTTGCAATTTATGCACACACAACAAGGAGATACTTTTATTTATTTTTTTACTTTTTTCACAAAAGAAATCTCCACCACGGGGCTTACGATCTATTGATATTATAACGGGGATTCGTAGACAAACAAATATTCCCATGGTTTTTTTTTTATGCAAAGAGTAAAAGTACTTTAGTATATATAACGACTCACAAAAAATGAAGAAGAATATTCTGTCTAGAGCTTATATCCACTGCGCTGCAGGTCATATTTATTACGTGTAAATAATTTTCTGCGATATTACTGGGAATACTTTCGAATGCTCGAACTACCTTAGCTAATCATGCATGCATAAACTAGCTTTTCAGTGTCTGTTTGAAGTAGACTAGAACATGATTAGTTGATGATGTGGTTTACCGGCAATCAGCATGATATCCAAAAGGACATTGCTTTTCTACGCTCTTTAATTACTTCCTGAAACCAGAGACACATATCCATGTTGTATATATACGTTTCTGTTGAAACACAATCTTCTCCATGGCGCACTATTGCACATATGCTTAATATATGTTTTAAACATCATAACATTTCATTAGCATGCATTTCAATTATAGAACATGAAAATTAAATACACCTTTGCTTTTTTTGTTGTCGTGTTATTAATATTGTATCTTCCTTTTTATTAGTTTATCAGTGCCAATGGACATGTATTTGTGAGAATGCAACTTTGTGCGTATTTAAGTATGCCATACTTGTGAACGATCCCTATTTTGAAGGGAGACTCCCGATTTTAGACCCTAAAAGATAGCCTTTAAAAGTGTTTTCCCCCCCGAGGGTGTACCATACACATGTTATCTATGCTTTATTTCTGCATAATCTCCCACATGGAAATTAAAATAAGTTGGCAAGTACGGTATACATTAAGGTATTCATTGAATATATTTTTCATGGCCGCTCTTGTATACGAAGATTATATTAAACTTAAGCGTAACCTGAAGTTTCCAACGACATGAGGCTTTTATAGTCTCACGAGAACCTTCAGGAGAAGTTCAAACGGGACAGAATGATGCCGGGATTGATTATCAATTGTTTGTCTATCTTATACGAATATGTTGTAATTTAGTTAGCACAATGGGGTTATCCAAATGCTTCAGGTTGAGACACGTTGTAGCGAAGAAGAAGCCGTTTGCTGCCCATGTCTTCCTGTATTTTTAGGGTAAAGAAGATAGTTACACAAAACTACAGGTTGTTTAATTGTCGAAATGCGCCACGTGGTTTGAAAACTCATCTAACTGCAAAGACATCACACTTCTGTACGCAGACAATAACTTGCGCGGCAGTTGCCAAGAGACCAGATCATTGATTTATCGATATTTCATACATTTACTCAGTAAAAAGGAAAAGTGATCAGTCCCTCTCCCCACCCCTTTGCATCGGTGAAAATAAACCAACGTCTTTAAAATGTAGTAGAGTGATTTATTGGAGGATTACATTCTAAAAGATCACATTCCACGCGGAAGTGTACCAAGTCAGGTTGGACGACTATATGGTTGCAATGTGAAGACAATAACCTTTTGTTGATTTTTTTCTTCTTTAAAACTGGGTCGATGTCCAACCGTCCGCAAATCGGCATTCTCTGTGTAACGACCACTTGGGAAGATCGTTCGATACGGGTCCTGTAAGCGATGTGATTGGTTGGGCGTTTTGGACCTTCTCAAACTACCCGTCAGACACGGCGTCACCGTAACAATCGTCTTTAAATGGGCCAATACACAAAATCGTTCTTGGGTGTTATGTCAATGGAACAATATATGTTCAATTCAAGGATGGGTCTAGATTTTGAGTTGCATGTGCTTTGCCACGTGCTGCTTCGTTGAACAGTTTTAGTGGTGGCAGTGTGATGGTCAATGATGGTATTTTGGTTGGAACTGTACTAGATTCTGGTAGTGTATTGGGATTTGAATAGAGCTGGTAACCTCATTTTCACGTCATGGTGCTGGCACTACCCTTCCAAATAAAAAACACACCTGCACATACCAGTCGTGCCAGCAAAACTTTTCTGTCGTAAAGCAATTTCGGGCGCTGGACTGGAAAACTAAATCACGAGCCATGTCGCCTATAGTGGTCGTTTAGGTTATTCTTTGTCGACGTCAAAATCATCCGTATAACATGTAGGGGGTAGCACAAACGTTGAGCAACGACTTGGACAACATCCCCGCTCGCGTCTTCAGTTGTGTTACGACCTCAGTGTGTTGTTATACCTTCATTCTACCCTTATATCACCTTCTATTTCTGTATTGTTAAACCGTCATTCTACCCTTATATCACCTTCTATACCTGTGTTGTTATACCTTCATTCTACCCTTATATCACCTTTTATACCTGTGCTGTTATACCTTCATTCTACCCTTATATCACCTTCTATATCTGTGTTGTTATACCTTCATTCTACCCTTATATCACCTTCTATACCTGTGCTGTTATACCTTCATTCTACCCTTATATCACCTTCTATACCTGTGCTGTTATACCTTCATTCTACCCTTATATCACCTTCTATACCTGTGCTGTTATACCTTCATTCTACCCTTATATCACCTTCTATACCTGTGCTGTTATACCTTCATTCTACCCTTATATCACCTTCTATACCTGTGCTGTTATACCTTCATTCTACCCTTATATCACCTTCTATACCTGTGCTGTTATACCTTCATTCTACCCTTATATCACCTTCTATACCTGTGCTGTTATACCTTCATTCTACCCTTATATCACCTTCTATACCTGTGCTGTTATACCTTCATTCTACCCTTATATCACCTTCTATACCTGTGCTGTTATACCTTCATTCTACCCTTATATCACCTTCTATACCTGTGCTGTTATACCTTCATTCTACCCTTATATCACCTTCTATACCTGTGCTGTTATACCTTCATTCTACCCTTATATCACCTTCTATACCTGTGCTGTTATACCTTCATTCTACCCTTATATCACCTTCTATACCTGTGCTGTTATACCTTCATTCTACCCTTATATCACCTTCTATACCTGTGCTGTTATACCTTCATTCTACCCTTATATCACCTTCTATACCTGTGCTGTTATACCTTCATTCTACCCTTATATCACCTTCTATACCTGTGCTGTTATACCTTCATTCTACCCTAAGTTCTAAGTTTGTATCCATGTTTTGGTTAGTCACATAATTTGTTTTGACAATAATCTCCCTGTTCAATTCAAATTTCATTTGCCTTTTCAACTTTGTCTTTAGAATAGCTCCGACAAGAAATTTATAGTTTATTAATTAGACACAAACTACTTAAACTCTTGTACCTTGTTAGTTATTTAGAATTCAAAAGAGATTTTCCAGACAACATCAGATGGAAATTCTCCGCAGCTTTTACAACAAGCCGATGTTGGATCTCCGCCTCCTTGTTATAGTAATTCAGAATGTTAAGTATGGTGCAGCTTTAGGACTTAACTAACTAACCCAACCTTCAAAGTACAGATTTCAAACAATGTTCCTAGTAGTCTCTTGTTAGAAGTATTGTTATGAGAGAAAGGATTTCACCTTAACATTCAACTAGGATTCCCATCAGATCATTTCAGGTAAACCATGGATACACACTTGCCTGGAATACATTGACACTTTTTGTTACAATGTAGGACATTGACACTATTTGTTACAATGTAGGACATTGACACTATTTGTTACAATGTAGGACATTGACACTATTTGTTACAATGTAGGACACAGACACTTTTTGTTACAATATAGGACATTGACACTATTTGTTACAATGTAGGACATTTGAGGGCACCTTTTATATGCCTATTTATATCATTATCAATTACCAGGTTTTACAGATAAATATCATGTGTCTGACCCCTGTGCCTTATTACAATAAAACAAGTACATGTTTTTCTCATTCAGCAAAAGGATAACATAACACACACTCTAAGACCTCATAACAATGTATTAGTTATATGTATAATGCCTTATAATTCAATATACTAGCATGATGTTGGATGCCAGTTTGATTTGAATCAAAGTTTCAAAACTATTAACAAACAATGCATATATGTAGTCCGACCACAATGACCTATAGTGTTGACCTAAAATTACCATGCTAATAAAAGATGAGTCAAATATTTATGTATGGAGAATACAGGTAGATCTATCATTCAAAGAAATTAATCAATTAAGTTACAGGTGAAACAGCCGTGAGGTGAAGGGCATGTATACTCTACAGGATCAACCCTAGCAATGAACAAATGGGCATACCTGAAAATTAATGTTGAATTCCACTTAGAGATCAATGCTTGGAGGTAAATTTTGCCTGGCTATATAATCTGACTACACTATCATTATATAGATGGATTCTGTCAATATATCTTGTTAAACTAGAACGCTGACAGGTCAGTAAGGGCCCCGTCTTGTGGCAATATATATCCCCCATAATCATCAAGAAGCAATCTGCCCATATAGCTGAGCTTGGCGTTTGACATTTGAACTTCCAAAAGAATCGCAAGGAAGCAAAATGTACATTTTACATGTACTATGATGCGAGTCTTGTTTCCTTTCACCTCCATATTTGCTTGGCTAACAGAAATGTAAATACCGGTGCAATAATCGTTTGTTAGCTTTGATTTAATTTGTTTTATTTCACCTTATATACCTCCTCCATCAAGAGCCAGGGTCAAAGTCAGAGATCCACTTTGTCTTTGACTTTTGGACCCAAATGACCTTTACCATCAAACCAATGACCCTGATCTTTGGTCAGTTCACTTATTCTTTAATTCCGACCAACTTTGCTTCTTAATATCATAACAAAATGTTCTTCAGTGAAAAATACAAAACTTGACCTTGCCCCTTCGGACCGCATAACCTGGCCCTAGGGTCAGTTGACTCTGTGTTAAGTTCTGAACAACATTGCTTCATGTCATAACAAAATGTTCATCAGGGAAAAAGTACAAAATTTAACCTTCACCTTTGACCCAGTGACCTTGACCTTTGCTCAATTGACTCCTTGATAATTCTGAGCAACATTGCTTTAAAGTGTCATAGCGAAGTGTTCACCAGTGAAAAGATACAAAATTTAACCTTGACCTTTGACCCAATGACCTTGACCTTTGGTCAGTTGACTCCTTGTTTAATTCTGATCAAATTTGCTTCATCATGTCATAACAAAATGTTCATCAGTGAAAAGATGCCAAATTTGACCTTGACATTTGATTATAATGCCCTTGACCTATAACCTCGACTTTTTACCTCAATGTGTATTTTTGTGAACTGAACATCTTGGCCAAGTTTCATGTACATTGTTCAAGAAATACTAAAGTTGTCAGCCAGGAACTAAATTTGTGGACAGACAGACAGACAGACAGACAGACAAGGTGATTACTATAGGGCACCCGTATCTCCGATACGGGGCCCTAATAAAGAAACGAAAATGTGGATAATTACATAACAAAAACAAAACAATTCCTGATAAACATACATGGACTCAGTCTGGGAGATTACAGACTACCCTTTACTATGTTTTATTAGTTTTTACCTTAACATGGTTTGTTTGTGTTTTACACTCTAACAGACTTAATCCATTATTATGCCAAACACTCTAACAGACTTAATCCATTATTATGACATACACTTTAACAGACTTAATCCATTATTATGACACTCTAACAGTTAAGTCTAAAACCACTAAGCCTGGCTTGCTGGTAAATCGAGGCTCTAATTACAAATAAGTGCATGTTAATATTAGATTTAAATTTCCCTGTCCCTAAATCTATGTTTCGTAACTTTATCATATCAGGTAAATTTAAGCTATTAAACTGTTTTTAGATGGCATTCATAGAAATATGAATGTTACTCATTAGTTTACAGCATAATTGACATGAAGTGATCTTGTACTGTGATTGACATTCATAATGCTTATAGTTGCCCATATTTTTTTAAAAGCAGTCCAATGTTTGAATAAATGATCTCCAGCAATCAGAAAGGTCTTTAACAAAATAAGAAAAAAGTATAAAATGAAAGACCCTCTACCAATGACACAGTGATGGCACAACATCTTGAACATTGTAGTTTTGATGGGCATTTATTGGTAGTATTGACCTTCTGAAGGTCTTCAGAACAGGAAGCACCAGGACTAGGATTTGGCCATACATAAAACCTTGAACTGATTAATATTGAAAGGAGAGGACACTTGTCTTCACCAAACTGACACACCTACAGCACATCTCACTTCAAATCACACTACTCAATATCACAAGTCAACTAGTATCATGTTCTCAACACCATTTCTTTTCAGTTACCCGATAAATCACATGTAATACATGCTCGGATTTAAACCTACAAAGATAATGGTATCTTTTCATACAGTAGCACTGTCTCTAGGACAGTAAGTGTATTTCCACGTAATGATCTGGTGTACAACAATAGACCTAGAGATATCTTTAGTGTACTAAAATACCATTTAAACGCTGAACTCTTAAAATTTGAATAATTGCACAATCAGTGCTTAATGCCACATTTCACGCGATACACATGTTCCGTCATTGTTACCTTATTCACCCCTGAAGACACATTTACACTCTTCTAATACAAAGGTTGGAACAGTTCATTATGAAATTTCAGGGGTGAATGAGTTTATGTCACACTTCACTTAATATCATATTTACCTCTGACTGATTACACATAAGACTAATGTGCTATAGTAGGAAAGACTGATTGACATGGCTGACATTCATTTTGTGTCAGTGTGAGTGTACTAGCTGTTCTCCAAATACAGTTACATGGTGTCATCAGAGTATTTGTAATGTAGTTTAACTGTTAAACTGACTCAGTAAAACACAAATCTCAGGTTTAAATAATTTATATTCGATTGTCTTTTTACAGCAGTGTAGGTGATCGGACACAATGTGCCACTGTGGTCGTAGTTTTCACTTGTCATATGTATGAAGGCAACACATTTGTTGCAATTGTTAATCATTTAAAAATGAATGATTTTGACTTACAATGTATTGGCATTTGAACACACTGAAACTGAAAACCAGGTAGGATCTTTAAAAACTCTCAAAACTTGTACTGTATTTTTTATCAAAATATAACTCCATTGCAATCAAGAATGACTGTTAAATCTCCTTGGATTTTAAATGTGAAAACCTGTACAGGATCAACTGTGTCCTTCTATCCCTCAGTCAAGTTGCACGCACTATTGGTATTGTCCATCAGCTCTGCCCTATAGCTAGACCAGCCAGATCATTAGACATACTGGTGACGGCTCCATACTCTTCACAGTCATTACTAGACATATTGGCGATGGGTCCAGGCTCAGAGGGGTCTGTCTTTATTTCTGTTTTTGTCGGTTCATCGACCTTCTTTTTCACCTCTCTTGATCCAAATATTGTACTGCCAACACGAATGTTCGTACTGCCCGATTCAATCTACAAAGATTGGTTCATAATAATGGGTTCTGCTCATGTTCTGTATCTTAAAGCATTCATTTCATTCATTTGAAGGTTCACACTGGTATTCTAAAACTAATTTCAGGACCTTTTGAAGTCAGAACATACAGATTATAGATAAAAGTCCTAATTTCCACCTGTAATTATGTAGCCTTGAATTACATCATACATTGGTAGATCACCATATAAGATTCATATTTTATTATCTATCCCGGTGTTGATTTCACTTACATAACACTGGTGTTATTGACTTCAAATTAAAAAAAAACCTTTGACATTGGAAAAATAATTGCAGTGCAAGTCTCTTGTCGAATCATCAAAACATGGATAAAAATAAGTTTGTTGCAAAATAGATGAAAAGAAGTTTCACAATTAGTATGTAGATATTCAAAGAGAACTGTTGAAAATATGTTTTTCATACCATTTTACATACATATCCATATACATGTACAGGATAATTTACAAATGCAAGGTTGTTTTTACATTACCAAGAAGGTTGTTTTGATGTTTTTCACCGGGAATTTTTTCACTGTAGTTTAATTTTTGCCTTTTTCACCCTCAGCAATAATGACAAATATCATGACTGACAGCAAGTATTACAACACAGTTTACTCTATATAGTAATTACATGTGAAGGACACAATAAACACTGGAGCAAATAAGGAATTAACAAGTGAAGGGCAAATATTTGACTGGGCAAACGTTTCCCTGTGTGCAGTATATCATAAGAGCAGTTTCCCTGTGTGCAGTAAATCATTAGAGCAGTTTCCCTGTGTGCAGTATATCGTTAGAGCAGTTTCCCTGTGTGCAGTATATCATTTGAGCAGTTTCCCTGTGTGCAGTATATCATTAGAGAAGTTTCCCTGTGTGCAGTATATCATTAGAGCAGTTGCCCTGTGTGCAGTATATCATAAGAGCAGTTTCCCTGTGTGCAGCATATCATTAGAGCAGTTTCCCTCTGTGCAGTATATCATAGGAGCAGTTTCCCTGTGTGCAGTATGTCATTAGAGCAGTTTCCCTGTGTGCAGTATATCATAAGAGCAGTTTCCCTGTGAGCAGTATATCATTAGAGCAGTTTCCCTGTGTGCTGTATATCATTAGAGCAGTTTCCCTGTGTGCAGCATATCATTAGAGCAGTTTCCCTCTGTGCAGTATATCATAGGAGCAGTTTCCCTGTGTGCAGTATGTCATTAGAGCAGTTTCCCTGTGTGCAGTATATCGTTAGAGCAGTTTCCCTGTGTGCAGTATATCATTTGAGCAGTTTCCCTGTGTGCAGTATATCATTAGAGCAGCTTCCCTCTGTGCAGTATATCATAAGAGCAGTTTCCCTGAGTGCAGTATATCATTAGAGCAGTTTCCCTGTGTGCTGTATATCATTAGAGCAGTTTCCCTGTGTGCAGCATATCATTAGAGCAGTTTCCCTCTGTGCAGTATATCATAAGAGCAGTTTCCCTGTGTGCAGCATATCATTAGAGCAGTTTCCCTCTGTGCAGTATATCATAGGAGCAGTTTCCCTGTGTGCAGTATGTCATTAGAGCAGTTTCCCTGTGTGCAGTATATCATAAGAGCAGTTTCCCTGTGTGCAGCATATCATTAGAGCAGTTTCCCTCTGTGCAGTATATCATAAGAGCAGTTTCCCGGTGTGCAGTATATCATTAGAGCAGTTTCACTGTGTGCAATATATCATTAGAGCAGTTTCCCTCTGTGCAGTATATCATAAGAGAAGTTTCCCTGTGTGCAGTATATCATTAGAGCAGCTTCCCTCTGTGCAGTATATCATAAGAGCAGTTTTCCTGTGTGCAGTATATCATTAGAGCAGTTTCCCTCTGTGCAGTATATCGTAAGAGCAGTTTCCCTGTGTGCAGTATATCATTGGAGCAGTTTCCCTGTGTGCAGTATATCATTAGATCAGTTTCCCTGTGTGCAGTATATCATTAGAGCAGCTTCCCTCTGTGCAGTATATCATAAGAGCAGTTTTCCTGTGTGCAGTATATCATTAGAGCAGTTTCCCTGGGTGCAATATATCATTAGAGCAGTTTCACTGTGTGCAATATATCATTAGAGCAGTTTCCCTCTGTGCAGTATATCATAAGAGAAGTTTCCCTGTGTGCAGTATATCATTAGAGCAGTTGCCCTGTGTGCAGTATATCATTAGAGCAGTTTCACTGTGTGCAATATATCATTAGAGCAGTTTCCCTCTGTGCAGTATATCATAAGAGCAGTTTCCCTGTGGGCAGTGGATCATTAGAGCAGTTTCCCTGTGTGCAGTATATCGTTAGAGCAGTTTCCCTGTGTGCAATATATCATTATAGCAGTTTCCCTGTGTGCAATATATCATTAGAGCAGTATCCCTGTGTGCAATATATCATTAGAGCAGTTTCCCTCTGTGCAGTATATCATAAGAGCAGTTTCCATGTGTGCAGTATATCATTAGAGCAGTTTCCCTCTGTGCAGTATATCATAAGAGCAGGTTCCCTGTATGCAGTATATCATTAGAGCAGTTTCCCTGTGTGCTGTATATCATTAGAGCAGTTTCCCTGTGTGCAGCATATCATTAGAGCAGTTTCCCTCTGTGCAGTATATCATAGGAGCAGTTTCCCTGTGTGCAGTATGTCATTAGAGCAGTTTCCCTGTGTGCAGTATATCATCAGAGCAGTTTCCCTGTGTGCAGTATATCATTAGAGCAGTTTCTTGTATGTTCAGGTACATTATCATACAAAAATGTTCGAAACAAATGTCTGCATGTTTTTTTTTAAAGCTCACATTCGGATCTACATGTATATGAGAAGAGATTCATGTTTTATGTGTGATGTTAAACTGATGTTAATGACTTACAGCATGTTCATAGTCAGCTGACATCCCCATACTGAGCTCCAGTTGGTCGACATTTATACCAATCTCTCTACACAAAGCTTCTCGACATTGATACAAAGACTGGAAATAAACCACAATCATTATATGAACAAAAGATATATATAATACTAGGTGTATGTAGCTGTATTTAATATTAATTTTTTTTATCATTATTTCATGAATTATTCCGCAATATTGATGAAATGTAAAATGTCAGAGGATTGTTTCATTAAGAAATAGTTTTGACATTTTTTTCAAGTGAATGAGCTTACTGATTGAGATATTTCCAAAATGCAAATTAAAATCAGTAACAGTTTTCCTGCACTTATATTTTTTCCATATATAAATTAGTCTCACAAAAACCTTCCCATGTATGAGGATGATGTCATTAAGTGGTTTGGGTTCTTTTCTGAGAATTGGAAAATGAGAATTAAAAAGTTCTATGCAAGTAGGGCCTGGTCATTTAAAGTCCAGTTTCTGTGACTATAGTCCAAAATAACCATCTCTTTAAAATAATATTGGACGTGGGTGGTGATATCTTCTCCCTATAATTCTTGTTATAGGAGATAGTCAAGTACTTTGGACTATTGTGACTAAATATTATCTCAGATCAGTTGAACTTATATTTCTTATAATGCACCGACTACATTCCAACCTTATTAGATCTTAAACAGTGACGTAATTATCTGAAATTCTATCTTGTGAAGTGTGAGGGCGTGTTACCTGGAAGTCTGGGTTTGGTCCTTGAGATAAATCATGGTTAAATGAGCCAATGGTCATCAGTCCCGTCACTTCCAAGTTTATACATGTCTCTTTCACAAATTTGTAGATTTCCACAATTTTGTCTGGATCACACCCACCTTTATCTGAAGAGGAAAAATTGAACTTAAGATGAAGTGAAAAATATGCTTTACAGGAACAGACACCTTATTTCTAAGGTCATCAAAATCTACAGGTAAATTAACAGGTACATATAAATCTACAGGTAAATAGGTAAATAAACAGAGGAGCTTCTGTAAGGTGCTGCTATTTTCTTTCTCTTACTAAGGAACCAGTAGTTGCCTAATTTATTTGAAAATTTAATCAAACTTTCAGTGAAATGAAACAATTCATCACATTGTTTCTATTCTATCCAACTATATAGAGACCTATATATTCATTCTCATTTTAAAGATGATTAGTACTAGTGCTGACCTGGATTATGTTTCGTCTGTTTACTCTATATGATGAAATATGTAAGCCTTAGTTTCTTAGTGACCAGTGTGGACCTGTCTATTTGTGCGACATGTGTTTGAAAGTGACGATTTGTTTCAAAAATATCAGTTGGAAAAGCGCTCCGGGCGCAATTTGCATATTTTCCGCATTTTATAGAGGGCCGAGTTCTGACGTTAATCGACGACAGACCGATATGAAAAAAGTCAATAAAACGTCAGAATAATTCGGACTAGACTAGCATTACCCTCATTAATGTTGCCCCACTGACTAGCATTTCCCTCATTAATGATGCCCCACTGACTAGCATTTGCCTCATTAATGATGCCCCACTGACTAGCATTTGCCACATTAATGATGCCCCAATGACTAGCATTACCCTCATTAATGTTGCCTTACTGACTTGCATTACCCTCATTAATGTTGCAACACTGACTAACATTTCCCTCATTATTGTTGCCCCAATGAATAGCATTTCCCTCATGAAATATGTTTCCCTTATGCTTTGCGTTTCCTTCATGCCTAGTATTACCCTCAGCAGTGATTCCCTTATAACAAGTGTTTCCATTATAGCTACTGTTTGACTCGCCCTCATGAAAAGTGTTTCCCTCATGGGCACTGTTTCCCTCAATGCTACTGTTTCCCTCATGACCAATGTTTCCCACACGGCTTGTGTTAACGTACATCGAGACATTCTCTTTGCTAACAGTGTTGAACATAAAATTTCGTTTTGTGATTCTGTACCCATATTCATAATAACTGTTTTCTTTCTGCTCACCTTCATTTTGACAAATGTTTGTACGAAGTTATTTCAGTACTCACTTTCCTCCTGACTAGTGTTGACTTGTATCATTATTTTCAGAGGGTGTGGTTTGTTTAGCCTTTTCCATCCATTATCAAGAGATCCTGCAAGTTTTGTAGAATCCACAGTCTCTACCACATGTAAGTTGGGAACAGCTGATGGAAAAATAAAAGGAAACTCAACATTGCTATAAATGTACATGTACATGACCAGTAATCAATTTGGTGTCTTATAGCCCATTAAATATGCTTTAAAAAAATATTTTTCTTTTATATCTAGTTGTTTTTCCACCTTGTGTACTTGTTTCATACCAAGTTCTTCATATTCACCATGGAAACAAAAAAGTGTATCCTGCCCCTCTCACTGCACACTATTTCAGAAAAGCTGTAATTTATTTCTGCACTAAAATGAAAAGTTGAAAAAACTCTTATATTTTATGATATTTCTGCTTCAAAGTGTTGGCATCCCTATGGAAGTTTACATAATCTACCCGGGTACCTGGCAGTATTGGCTGTTAAAACCTGCCCCTTCTTTGTACAAAGGAGACCAGGTGTATAGGTTCCAAATTTTCCTCTTATTGATGAAAAAGTGAACTCTTTGTACTTACACAAGAGTTAAAACAAGTACAGAATTCTACTGTTACTTTAATTTTGTTGTAAAAAGAAATAGTCTAAGTACTTACTAAGTAGCTTCCCAACCTTATTCCGTTGTAGATGACCAATGAAATGCCATTTTATTTCAGAGAGTTGCAATATCTGAAGGAAGGAAATAAAACAATCACAGTACCATGGATTTGTTTGTCACTTTTTAAGGAATTTTCCAATCATTAGTGAATTTGAAATAATACGGTAACTGTTATCTATTGGATAAAACAAAAATCAGTTTCTGCTTTCCACAGCTAAAATTGTACATTGTTTGTACAGTAACCTTGCCCTTATCTCTGAAACACTGTCTCTATATATCTTTTGTAAAAACATTTGGCACGATAAAAGTTTGGCCTATCTACATGATACGTGCTTCAGAGTCAAGTGTGGAAATGTAATACATTTGTGGACTGGGTTTCAGCCTCAGGCAACAGTTTGGTCCTCTGGTTTAACATAGCACATGTTGACCGAAAACTCAGTCTACAAATGTTTTGTTATAACTTTTTCAAAACTTTCTGACGTTTCCAATTTGGATTTATCATGAAAAAACCCTGTGGTAATGTGTTGTGCTTTGCTTCCATATACTCTGTTATTAATTTCTCTGCAACTCTGATCACATCCTTGGTGTTTGTACTGTCTCTGTTATTAAGAATTTCATCAATTTCTGCAGCAGTGTATTCCGAAAATCTGTCCATGATTGTACATAATTCAGCCGAGATACATAAACATTGCAGACGGCCGGAAGCCGGAAAGTACTGAATAGTAATGAGCTGTGACGTAAGCAGTCAACATTTCACTCAAAGCCAGTCAACATTTCGATGTTGACTGGTCAACAATTTTCTGAGGCAAACATCTGGAATTTCGAACTTTTTTCACTATAGAAGAGTACAGAAAATAAAATGTAAAGGCATAACAAAATATATTTTGGACTTACAATGAACTTATTAACCTAAATTACATGTAGAAGTTAATCCTGTTTATCAATGATTTATTTTTTCTGAAATGTTTCCTTAAATATTTCTCCAATAATTATTGATTATATTTAAGAATAAATTAATACATTTATATTGTGGTTTACACTTACTTCAGGGTTTTGTACTTTTTCTACCATTTCATGTACCTGTAATAGACATTGGGAAACAGTTAACAGTGAACCAGATGTATCATATAGAAGTCATCAAAAGTGTGCATCGATCTCCTCAAAACTTGACAGTAATCCAGGGCCTCCAGTAGACCCTTTAGAGTATGTTTTTGACGCGCCAATATCACTTTACAATAATATAATCCAGGGCCTCCAGTAGACCCTTTAGAATATGTTTTTGACGCGCCAATATCACTTTACAATAATATAATCCAGGGCCTTCAAGTAGACCCTTGAAAGTATGTTTTTGACTCGCCAATATCACTTTACAATAATCCAGGGCCTTCAGTAGACCCTTGAGAGTATGTTTTTGACGTGCCAATATCAGCTTTGACTCCTGGGTTTTAAAGGACATGTCTGTTTGACATGTGTTGCCACTATCCATGTTTCACAAGGAAAAAGTTATTTTACTTTTCAAAGGCCATGGGTCAAATGAAAGCCCTTGTAAATGAAGCTTATTAACTTACATAATTTTCTCCAAAGTATCGTTGACCACATTCATATGCACTGATAATAGCTTCAGCTGGTTTTGTCTTGGTAACGGCCACAAGTCTGGGTTTGACAGGTGGCAAAGTCTGTAACAGAAATTAGCGTGTTAAAAAGGTTCATAAGAGAATGAATAACACATACTTGTTTCAAACATAAGACAGATAAATTACCATTGTCCATTTTCAATTAAAAATAGGCCCTTAAAATGTTATGTCTGGGGTTTATCTTGTACATCAATAATAAAGTTCATGCAACAACACAAATTACACATACATACAGATAAAAACCAGAAAGGATAGGATACTTTGAAAATAGCGACAAAGAAAGTTGAAATAGTGGAAAACCAGCCATTATGGTCTTACCATATTTGTTGTTGTCATTTGTGTTCCAGTTTGATCTGAAATGTGTTACTGCAATTTCTATAAGTATATCAAATTACTAGTAGCAAATTGCCACCTGTAGATGAAGATCATGATATAACGATACAAGAGATCCCAGATGGATCTTGGCACCAACCATCATACTGAAGCAGAGCTGAACTGGGCCGATAGTCAGCGACCACATAGCTCATTTGGTAGAGCATCCGTATAGAGTTCGGCGAGTCCTGGGTTAGAACCCTGGTTAGGTCGTACATCTTTCTTAGGCTCTCGTGTTACAGTGGTGCCCATGACCAACCCTTGTTTCAAGCATTTGGTGTATGCTTGACAATGGATACCCGAACCTGGGTTGTAAACAGTTGTGTCTTCGGGGGCGAAGACTTAGAAAAAGAAGGGAGGAGTGTAGCTGCCTGTACGCCATCTTGGTTTTCAGAGGGAATACCAGTAATTTACGACAAGGTAAATAATATTTTGCTAAAAGGTGTTTACTGAAAGCGTTGGCTACTTAGAAACTTGATGTAACTCTACCGGATATATTGCATCTGTTTTAGGTACTTTCCCACACGCAAATAAATTTTATTTTTGCATTTGTATGATGTTTCATGACTAAATAAATGCGACTTGCAGGCGCGGATTTAGGGGGGGGCACACCCGGCCCCGGCCCCCCCTTTTGGCGCCAGACTGACCTTTTCCGAAGGCTGGAATGTGAACATATTAACATTTTAAAATGCATCAAATAATGCACGGAGCTTTTTATAAAAAAAATCTGGGGCTATGCCCCACACATCCCATACGACATCCTAGCAAATATTGTGGGTTTCCGTTATCTGATATTTTTACTATATTTTCTTAATTAAAACAATATTTTTTGGCATCGCTACGCTCGTCTACTTTGTATCTTGACCCTAAAGTGTTTTTTATTTTACCACCTCTGCAAAACCTCAAGTTGCAACTTGCAACGCTCGGCAGAAATATACTAGCATAAGTTGCATAATTATATTATTGACCGCTCGTTATAGATGATCTGAAAATTAATACTTTTTATTGTAACCTTCCTAACCGCCCAGGCGATATTAATCATATCATTATACAAGAACGATAAAGTTTTTTTCGGATGACAATATTATGTATAATCGACTAAACATATCTATTCATATAAGTTGTACGTACCAGAATGAGATGATATGCTGTACTTACAAGTATGATAATTTTAAATGAAATTTAAAGGTGACGCATATGTGCCTCCTAAGTTGTACCATTTTAAACAGATAGCTTAGCAAATGTACCACTGTTGGTAATATGCACGCCCTTACATGAGTTGTGGACATTTCAGATATATCATTGTCTACACTAGTAAATTAGTCAACAATTATAAAACGCGAGACTATATAGCTAGTGGTCTTGGGTGTAGCACTGATTTGAACTTATCCATTTTTTTAGCAACTTAGTGATGCCATGAGTAACTAATTAATTAAACAGCAACGATGTTATGGTGTTATTTGTTCTTTTGTACGACAAACTATTACATGAAGTACTGTACTGTAGGTACAATGTCTGAAGACTAGATATTGTGTGTCCCTACATTTATTTTTTGACGATGGACCTCTCGTATCCCCCTTGCGGGCGGGACGCCAAATTAGGTAATAATGCACAAGCCCCCTGTGGATTCATACATTTGTCATCACCAGGTTGCCCATATAATATTACCAGCTGACCTCTAAAACACGCTGTTGATAGAGAATTTAAACCGAAACTTTAATTTTCTTTCCAGTACACAAAAAATGCCTTTTGGCCATACTTAAAATATGTTTTTTTCTTCTTGATAATTAAACGTAAAAACAATCCTCAGAACACAGGAAATCGCTTCTGAGACGTTCTGGAAAACACAATTTTTTTGGGGGAGATCCCCAAACCCCCCTTACGGGTGGGGGAAGACCCCCTCCTGTACCATCCCCCTCCTCGCGCTACTCACTCGGGGTGCTGCCATTGGCAGCACAACATTTACTTTTGAGAAAAATTTCTCGGCCCCCCCTTTTAGGAAATCCTGGATCCGCCCCTGACTTGGACAAGCAATTTGAAAAAGTTCAGCTTAAAGTGAATTTGGCTATTTTTAGTAACAAATCCATACCCCAATTGGCGTATAATGGGCGAGTTTGCATATTATACGCAAGGCAAGTTAGTGGTTTTCCCCGACCTGTTTATTCCCATACAATATTGTGCTAATCTGGATACAAGATACAAGAATTTTTATTTAGAGTCGTGTTTGTAACAATGGCCAATGCAACATTAGCTCAGAAGAGCTATTCTTACGACTATTTATGGAGTATCTTATGATGCAAAGACCTACATAAAATGGCGAGTTGGTTGTTGTACACAGAGTTACGTTATATGGATCAGTTGACAGGGGAAAATCGAAACAACTTCAGCTCTTCAGTAGAGATGGAAACTTATAAATACCCCCTTCCCAACGCAGTCAGATGCTCGTTACGTAAACTTAGAGTTCTGATCGGTGTTGCGCTATTACCTTGGGTCTTTTCGATATGGCCGTCTCTATATTACATATAACTGACTTCAATGCGGTTGAAATGTGTTGTTTTTGTGATGCCATTTTAGTAAAATGACAGATTTTTGACATGTTCCCGTTTTCCAAAGCGGTCATAGAGTCATTGCCAAGGCCGTCATTGCGACGCTTTTCATTCATAGTCGTTTTGACGCTTCGCTAATATAGGAAAGTGTAAATACCGGACATATCTGCCGGAAGAATGAAAATTTCTAAAGAATATAGCCTGACCGGCCTGCAATTGTGAATGCTAGCTCTGTAAAGTATTTCCTTCCAAAAACAACATCAAATCTCTAGGTCCATCCCTATTTCTTAAATAACTATACCATGCTGAGTAATATTGCTGTTTGGTAGATGTTTCATTGTGATACTTACAAGATACGAGATTTATTTAGAGTCGTACATGTTAAACAATGAACATTAGCTCTGTAGAGCTATTATTACGAGCTATATTACTTGTGTTTCAAAATGTCCAGTTCGACCACTTGAATTGTTCGGGAAAGCCCTGCTAAAAATAGCGCCAATAACGTCACCTGACTCGGCAGGAAACGGTTTCCAGAGGGGCCCCCAAAGAGGGGCCGTTAGGCAACTGCAACTTCTTACCGCGTTATGAAACCAAGTAATATGATTTTTGAGTCCGTATTCAAACTTATTGAACAGTAATTATTCATCAGCAGAAGTTAATTGCACGCTTGCCAATATTCAGAATTTAAATTTATTTAGCTTTAAACATATTTGTTGCCAATAAAAATGAACAAGGGATGGGGCACAAGTTATACAATTTATCACAGTCTTCTCCCGTCATACATTTACAATTAAATGTCAACAATGATAATAGGCATAAACATAAAGTAGATATTTATATATATTGAATTTATTACCAGAATGTTACCGGTACAGATGGTAAGGGGCTAAACACCTTACCTCAACCATGGGACAAACCTTTCTGGTTTTTTTTTATATAATGCCGGAGGAGGCCGGGTATTCATATTAGTACTAATTTAAATCTTGTATGTAAAACCAAAAATCGTTTAATTCAGCAATATAATCAAATCATACTATTTTACTGAACCCGGTAATATTATAAATTATGTAAATCTAATAGCGCACGTATCTTGATGACCCCGAAAATACGCCGTGGGCCTTCACCAGTTACCCCTTGAAGGGCCTCATGGCAAAATCAAACTAACCAGTCACTTATCCCTTCTTTTCGCATAAACCACTGTATAATCCCCCAAACACAAAGTAAACTCTCTCCGATAAATGCCCATTGCCATTTTAAACTAAGTTCATCTGTGTTCAAACTCAGACAAAGATACTAGCGAGCTTAATAGTTTTAGATATTTATTCATAACATTCCATTTCAGCTTAACCGGCTATCCGGAAGAATACATGCACCGTACTAACTGCTACGGCAGTTATTTTCTCCCTTGAATCAGAGACGTATAAAGCCTGTAAAGTATGTGTTATATACGTCTCTGTTTGAATACTTCCCACCTGTAATTATGATTCCGTAACGTACTCCTTGCGCTATCTTTTGACCATTTGGCAACTTTTTGTTTCGTAGCTGACACGGTACAACACTTTTCTTTCGCTTACTTCACACGGCCAGTCATTTTGTTTACAAAGAAATGGTGTGCTATACGCATGCGCTAGTAGAGGGAAATCCCTGAACAAAACGTTTGTCAGACAGGTAGAAATACCAATGATTTAATACAATTTTATGAATCTCTTTCAGGCAAATCCGATCGTTATTTTCCATAAGGAGTCTCACTTGATATGTTTATGTAGTATTTGAAAAAAAAGACAAAAAATAAAGTTACTTCACCGTGATGCCCCTTTAAAGTGACATCTTGATATTCATTTTATAGAGATCTAGAGTGTGCAATATTTTGATAAGATGAATGGTAAAATATGCTTATTGGACAAGAAGCAGTACTGAGAAGAAACCAGTTGAGATACCTGGTCACAGTAATCAACTAGTCCAGTCCCGCTACTCTATCTAGATCTGTTACCATCAGTTCAACAGTAACAAAACAAAATACTTCAAGTGCAATTTCAAGTTTATTAATGAGCACAAAAGTATAATAAATACAAATGATATGTTAACAGGTTAACATCATATAACAATTAAATATCCCTTCAAGTTAAGATACAGTGAACTACTGTACCAGTAATTATCACAATGATTTCCACTGCAGAGCTGTAAGTGTTAAAGAGTTTTTATGACAACGAGTTATTTCTGTACATTTACAATTCCTGGTAAAATATATGATTTACATTGGTTATGTCCTAAGTTTTTTTTATAAAGGTACATCATGGGTAGGCAGTGTGTCTTATAGCCTAATACAAGGTCACAGTTACCTGGATTTGACCTTTGACCTTGACCTCAAGTACTAAAATGAGTCTTAAACAGGTTTCTAGTGAATTTCTTTCATGAATGGGCTTCAAATTTTGTAGATAGGTACAATGTACCTGGGAATATGAAGTAGGTGTGTCACATACTAAAGTGAAGTCATAGTAACCTCTATTTGACAATTGACCTCTACCTAAAACACTACAAATATTGGTTTCCAGAGCAAATTATAGTTACTTCAAGACTTGAAGTGAAGGTCAGGCGGTAACAATGAGATGTAATAAAATTGCACAGATGCACCAGTTTTACTGAAATTGTCCTATAAGTTAAGGAAAAGATGTCCAATATTTTTAACAAAGGGCCACAACTCCTTAAAAAGTGTTGAAAATGAAAAAAATACTAGCCCGATGCACAACATCACTGGGTAATTACCATATCTGTAAACTTTCATTGAAATCGTCAGAGTAGTTTATAAGGCAGACAAAGGTTTATTCAACAAAGGGCCATAACTCCTTTCAAAAGGGTTGGAATGAAAAAGGACTACTTGGATGCACAACGTCACGGGGCAGTTACCATATCTGTAAACTTTCTTTGGAAATGGTCCTGTAGATTAGGAGATGCCATAACTCCATAAAAAAGGGCTGGGAAAAAAACCCTGGATGCACGACATCAGAGGGTAGTTATCATATCTAAATGCTTTCGTTGAAATTGGCTGCATAGTCTTGTAGGAGTTGTCACGACAAGTATTTTTCAACAAAGGGCCATTTCTCCAAAAAAAGGGACAGATTGAAAAAATAATACATGGATGCACAAAATCAGGTGGTAGTTATCATATGTGAAAACTTCCATTGAAATTGGCCCAGAAGTATTGGAGAAGTTGTGCGGGGAAGCATTTTTCAACAAAGGGCAATAACTCCCTAAAAAGGGTCAAATACAGATACAGTCACTACAGATTACTCACTGGTATACACTTCAGGGCTTACGGTAGATGTTAAAGGTAGACTGCTAGTCTGAGACCAGTGAAATTTCTGGCTGGACTAGTGGTTCTGAAAACTGCTAGCACAATTGGAAATGACTAGTCAAAAGTTGCTGTGATATTGAGTAAGTGGAATTTTGACATACATAAGCTCAACTGACTAGTAGTTCTTACAATTAATTTCTAGCCCTGCATTTTGTTGAATTTCTTGGGCTATATTGATCGATTTAGTCAGAAACATATTTTCTGGGCGAGGTGTTTCTGGATGACTCGCCTCACTAAAGGTGACACAGGCTTTAGGCCTCTCTTTTGTATGTAACCTGTGGTGTCTTTTTAGGTTATGTGACTTGTTGAATCCTTTACCACAGATGTCACATTTATATGGTCTCTCTCCAGTGTGAATACGATGGTGTATTTGTAGGTCATGAGATTGTTTAAAACCCTTACCACAAACCTCACAGGTGTAAGGTTTCTCTCCTGTATGAGTGAGGAGATGTACCTTTAAGCCTCCTGACCCAGTAAACCATTTCCCACAGATATCACACTGGTAAGGCTTTTCTCCTGTGTGTGTCATCTGGTGTGACTTGAGGTGATGTGCCTGGTTAAACGCATGACCACACACATCACACTTAAAAGGTTTCTCTCCTGTATGTATTACATAGTGCATCTTAAGATTACCTGATGCACTGAATCTCTTACCACAGACATCACATTTGTATGGCTTCTCTCCCGTATGTACCCTGTAGTGTGTCTGTACATCGTGTGCCTGATTAAACCCCTTACCACACACATCACATTTGTAAGGTTTCTCTCCTGTATGGGTTCTAAAGTGTCTCTTTAGGTTACTTGACTCCCTAAAACCCCTACCACATTCCTCACACTTGTATGGTGTCTCCCCCGTATGTATCATGCGATGCACCTGCAAGTCATGAGATTGATTAAACCTCTTGTCACAGACATCACATTTGTAAGGCTTCTCTCCTGTGTGTGTCCTATGATGAGTCTGTAAATTAGTAGCTTGGTTAAAGCTCTTCCCACAGATATCACATTTGTATGGTTTTTCTCCAGTATGTGTCCTCTGATGGGCATGTAGGTGAGATCCTTGGTTGAAACCCTTACCACACACATCACACTTGTACGGCTTCTCCCCTGTATGGATTACGTAATGTTTCTTTAGGTTACCTGAGTCACCAAATCCTTTTCCACAGACGTCACACTTGAATGACTTCTCTCCTGAATGTGTTCCACAGTGACGTTTTAAGTTTTGAGTAGTCCGAAAATCCTTACCACACAAATCACACTTGTAAGGCTTCTCTCCCGTATGTATTATACAGTGTTTCCTGAGATTACCGGAATCATTAAATCCCTTACCACAAGTATCACACTTATATGGCTTCTCTCCTGTATGCGTTCCTAAGTGTCGCATTAAGGTTTGAGTAGTACCGAACTCTTTACCACACAAATCACACTTGTAAGGCTTCTCTCCTGTATGTGTTGTATAGTGTTTCCTAAGGTTACCCGACTCACTAAAAGTCTTACCACAAACGTCACAATTATAGGGCTTCTCTCCTGTATGTGTCCGAATGTGTCTTGTTAAGGGATGCGTAGTCCTAAATTCCTTACCACAAATATCACACTTGTGCATGTTTGCATTTCTTTTGCCTTTGCGTCCTGATGTTTATTCTTTCATGTCTTTAACCTGTCTTTGACTTGTCTTAGAATATTTGAACACATTCAATATCACTTAGACAGTTGCTCCATAATGTTCCTGTTCAGTTTTTTTCCTTTATTACTTTAATATCGGTGTGATAATGCCATGATGTTGATTGCTATTACTTTTCCAGGGAGATGATTTTAATTTCTTCACCCAAAACATCTGAAAAACAAAGAGTATACAAATGAAAGAATAAGACAATAGGCCAAAAAAAATCTACCTCATATCCTTGTGTACAAAAACATTGGTATGAATTTACCAAAAATCTATACAAGTTAAGCAACTGTATGGGTAGAGATAGATCTAAATCTGACACATGATTTCTGATGAGAAGTCAAAAATATGATTGTTTACTATGGACAAAAGGCAATCATAATAGGTCACTAGAGTGACATATAAATGTTGGTAATATTAAACAAACAGCATGCCCCACTAGAGCACAAGTGTAGTGGGGCCTGCTTTAAGGGAGTATTACTGATTTTGGATTAGATTAGTACTCTGTTAAATTGTCATCTTCAATTGTGGTATACATGTACTTATGTTGAAAGGGTGGAGACTCTTGAGGTTAAAAGTGAGCCCTATCATCTATCATTGGGGTAACCAGGTATGCGAAAGGGCCTGATCAGTTTGTCCACATAAACAAACATCAAGATAATCCAAAAATTGTTTCCGGTGTAGCAAAACAGGACTGGGTCAATCGTCTGCGACCAGGTAGCTTAATTGGTAAAGCTTCTGTCTAGGGTTTGGAGGGTCCAGGGTTTGGATCCTAGCCTGGCCATTGCATTTCTCTTTCTCCTGTTACAAAATTGGCGAGGTTGCCAAACCCTTGTTTTAAGCACTGCATGGGTAAATGCTTAGCAAAGGGATATCCAAACACTAGACCAAGTTTCCTCTGGCCCCGACACTGCTCCAATAGTGTTAGAGTTTTACACGGTGAGATACTTTTGACAGGCGCGGTAGCAGTCGGCAAAATCATATCCGATAGAAAAAAGGCCGATCAACAGCCTCTTCTGTTAAAGGAGTAGCCCTAACACCAGACTTAAACATTTTGACACATAGACCAGGTCCAGTGCACTCTGCCGATTGAGCTATATAGCTATAAAGTCCTAAATAGCTATCTTCACCTATAACTTATAGCTGTATTGAGCTACATTTTCTCAGAATTCAATTTTTAGTTAATTAAAGCGAAGTCGCATAAAACAATAAGGTTTATGGTAATGTTGACTACAAAAAGCATACAGTTAGATGTTTATTTTCATTTTTCATAAATGTAAAATTTCCGATTTTTTTACATCATCATTTTTTAAAAAGAATACTTATATTTAATGTGTTATCAAACTAATGATACAATCTTCTTTCAAAAGCGACTTTGTTTCGTTTTCCTTATAAAAGAAAATCACTTGAATAGCTCAAAAGACCTGTTTCAGATAGGTCAATAGAGCTATTATAGGTCTTTACAGCTATATATACATATGTAGCTCAATCAGCAGAGTGTACTGGACCTGTAGATGTCTGGTATATCTATCTATCAAAATGTCTATGTCTGGTGTCAGGGCCAGAGGAAACTCAGGCTAATCCGAACCGGTCTTTTAAATAGTTTTGACTTCGGGGGGCGAAGACTTTGAAAAGGAGGGTAACATGACATCGAAGCTTTTTTGTTGTGTTTTTTTTCCAGATCGCCTTCATTACTGTTTTGAAAAATAATAAAACAACTGTAGCCTTTAACTTCGGTCAATACCTGGATTTATCGACCCGGGAAAAGAAATATTAACCTCTGACTGCGTCCTCGGTCAGTATATCTTTTCTCGGGTCGATAAATCCAGGTATCGACCTCAGCCAGTGGCTATAATTGAATAATATGTAGCGGAACTGTGAATGGGTTAATCGTTGGCGACCAGGGCTACATTCGCGTATCCCGGTTGAAACAGTACGTGTGGTGCAGAAATTTTCCACGATTAACGAACACACTTGGACCGTTCTATAAGCAGAGCTAAAAATCCACAGTTTCGGAGAATAAAAAACAATGTATCAAGAATATAATGCCCTTCTCTCATGCGTCCACTAAATTACATAACGGATCTTAAAAATTACAAGTGACTTGATATTGTTTAAGAAAGAAATAACGCAAATTGGCAATGGTCAGCATTTTAGTTTCGGTCAGGTTTGTCTGGACCCCTCAATCTACACGTACCAAATTTTCCTGAGGTCAGCCTCGGTCCAAATCTGTACCTGTTGTTTTCTTTACAGGTTCAACCGGTTCAACCGTTTCAACCGGATACGCGAATGTAGCCCATGTAGCTCAAATGGTAGAGCGTCCGTCTCTAGTAGAGTTAGGAGGTTCCCGCGTTCGAACCCGGTCCAACCATTTTGAACGCAGTACACGAAAGCGGCTAGTTAAACCCCAATTCAAAGGTGTAAACGTACATACCTGAAATGTCAAGTAACGTTATGTTTCGGGTTACGTTTCTGACCGGAAGTGTGTTTGCAATATACTATGAGTAGGTGTGAAAGGCGGAAAAATAGTACGGACTTTTACGGATCGATAGGCCGCAAGTATGTATTGTAAAGGGAATTTTGTGTTACGTCTTCATTTCCTCATTTCTCTTTTGCTACATATTTATAGATGATTGTATTCGTGAATTAAAACATGATCCGCTATCTCTTTAGATATTGCTTTTCTCAAATGGACATGTTATGTCATTCATTAATTTAATTATATCTAATGTCGTATTCTTCATTCCCCATTTTCCTTGGGTTATTTTATCGTGTTGTTTAATTTCCAAGTATCTCTTCATATTATAACACATACAAACATAGATTACAAATACAACGATGAAAATAAATAAGATTGTTAAAACATGTAAAAATACATTTGCAGTAATATGATTATCAAAATAAATGGTTATGATCAAATAATCTTATTGTAAAGTGTTTAACAATGCTGTCATCTGTAACATCGCGAAACAAGGGAGGTAACACATATAACATATACTCTCGTAATTTGGAATTGGAGAAGTTCTACTTCTACTTCTAGTAATTACATTATAATAACCGCCTTCAACAAGTTGAAGATTATGTTATTTGGAGATCATTGCATAAGGAGGGAAAAATAAATAAGTAAATAGATATATAATTAAAATAAATGAATAAATAGGGATTTGTGGTAATTTAGCTATGGCGGATTTGAAGGCAGTGTCTGGAGGGAGGCAGTTCCATTCTGATATTGTTCGTGGGAAAAATGACTGTAAGTAGTCTAGGACCCTTTTCTCTCTCTTTATCTATGTAAGCCGCAATCTTGGATTGAGGGGGTATTTTTCGGAGGGCTAATTGTAGATTAATTAATGCATAACAACAATGAATCAAGATTTTCTAAGTGTTTAATTGATCATCTTTTGAATGTTAATATGTAAAATACATGATTTATGAACATGGTTGATTGTTTGTAAATTGAATGGGTTGTCACGGTCCATTAGTACTTCTCCACGTGACAAAATTCAATAGACCATGAATAATTAATGGACTGTGACAAACCCATAAATACTTTAATTATAAGTTACATCAACGAGTTAAAAACAAATCATTTCACACTTTTTCTCTCTCGTTATCTATGTAAGCCGCCATCTTGGATTGAGGAATGAATCAAGATTTCCTAAGTGTTTAATTAACCATCTTTTGAATGTTAATATGTAAAATAGATGATTCATGAACATGTAGGATTGTTTGTAAATTAAAAGGCCCTTTATAAAAGTGTTGTTATGATAATTGATTATCGGTTAATTATATTGCTGGTTGATTGTCTGTAATTTAAAGGAACGTATAAAGTAACACACCTCATCATCGCTATTTAAAATCGATGTCTGAGCTCCCGGCATTTCATGCGCTCCTCTCGAGGCTCCATGCGCTCTTTCTGGCGCGCATTTCGCTCCATGCGCTCTTTTTGACGCGCGTTGCGCTCTATGCGCTCTTTTTGGTGCGCTTTGCGCTCCATGCGCTCTTTCTGGCGGCCAATGCGCTACGGAGTCCTGGCGTTCAGGCGCTCCGAGGTCCTGGCGCTCCGATTCCTACTTGACAGCAACATACAATTCTACGTACAGGGTCTATATGTGAAATGGATCTATTCATCTTATGGACACGGGTATTACATGTAACTGATTAGTAAGAGAGTTAATTTCTCTAGAACGGGCTCATTTCAAGACCCTGTTTTGTGGGAAAGGGCGTACAACCCGATACAGATCGTCCCGATACCATACCACGGGTGGATGACTCTCGGTAATGTAAATATTGTCCATGTTAGGCTTTATGTTGTACGGGTGGACGTGGGATGGGTCTCTGACACGCGTTCGTTCTTTTGTCAGAGACAATTAAATACACTTGCATTGATATCGTCTTGATTGATTTATTCGTATATATATATCACAAAAACGTCTTTTCGTTTTTTATTTTAGCGTCCGGGATCCACCTTAAACTCCGTACTATCGCAGCTACCAAAAAGAAGTATTGTGTTTTGGCATTCATATACTTAATTCAACTGTGTATTCACTGACACTATATATTGGGGCGAACTGGATTTAGTGCGAAACGACAAGTTGTGAGAACGGGATTTATTTCGAAACGACCCGGATCACTCCTGACGATAGTCTCATCGATCTTTGTATCACAGGCGCTTGAGCTTGGATCTCCTTACAGCTTGAAGACATGTCGTTGATATCCAAAATAAGTATCACTACTTCTCTACATGAAACTGTATCTCGTTTGACATATTTTCCGACATTGACATTTGTTCGATGGCGAAAACCAAGACATCTTCCAAAAGCCCGAAGTAAGATATACAACGTAAGGCAGCCGACACCAAAGGATGATGAAGAAACAAAGCTGATGACAACTCTTACGGACCGGTACAACGTTAAAATAAGAGCTATCAGGTCAGGAAGATGTTCAGCGATCGCTTGTAGCATACATAGCTTATATACAGATTTATTCTGACTGTAGGAAATTGTACAATTTGCTGTCAGTTCAATTATAAAAGTTACAATAGTACATGTAGTTGGTTAAACATATTAATAACATGATTTCTGAGGTTTTTTTGCGAGTCCATTATCTTGACGAAGAACATATCAATATCAACAGTGTACTTTGTGTCCTTCAATATGTAGAACAGGTTGGGCACAATGGCTCATATGTGTAATAATCATGCATTTGTAATAGGACGAGGAAAAGTGATAAAGATAGTGCCGTCGCTGGGGTTCGAACCCGCGACCCTTGGCTCTCCAGCCCGATGCTCTACCGCTGAGCTAAAGGGAAATTCTCTACAGTTGACGCTTGTAAGACAACCTAAATAATCCTAATCTTTAACACACATTTGCCAAATGATTTGGGCAACAGCTACCCATTTGAGTAACAATTTTATTACTAAAATGGGGAATAAAGTGAAATGAATGCAATTGTGCGCAAAAAAATGATAATTCAGTTAAGTCTAAATCTTTATGGAAACGACAAATTGTATTACCTCCATTGCTTATAGTGTGTTGTAGAAAAGCTATAAATAGCACACAGAAATAATCATGCTCACCTGTCACATTTGCACTGGATAATCCCATTGGATATTGGCTACACACTGATATGATTTGTCATTTTCACCAAAAGTTAAACATCAGATTTGATAACTTTTTGTGTACAAATGTACTTCGTTGTGTTATTTATTGGATTAAGTTGAAAGAATAATTAAAGTTTTTAAAGGAACTTTGTGTGTTTTTATTTAACTTTATTTCCCATTTCAGTAATAAAATTGTTACTCAAATGGGTAACTGTTCCCCAATTGCAGGATTATTACCCATATGAGCCGTTGTGCCCAACCTGTAGAAGATAGTACAAAGGTGCACTGTCAAGGAGAACGTAAAGTTTGTGGTGAAAAACATTATTTTTTTAAAGATATAAAGTTAAGGGTACAGCATGTGTGTTTGGAGTCCTGACTTGAATGTTTTGAGGTCAGGGCTGAGTGCAATGTCTGTGGGCAACATGTTCCAGAGGCGAAAGAAGGATTGAGAAATGTGTTTAGATGCCGAATGTGGAATTACATATTTATGATTTCGGGCGGGAATCAGGAATTTGTCTTTTTCACTTGCTTCTTGGCCGTGAATGATTTTGTAAAGCATGATTAATGAGGGAAAATATCTGCATGTTTGGAGGGTTGGCCAATTAAGGGTTACACTGTCTCTGTAATTGAAATTATTTAGAACGTACCTAGCAGCTCTTCCCTGAATTGTTTCGATCATATTTTGGTAAGTTTTTTTGCCATGGATCCCATATTGTTCTGCAGTATTCCAGACTCAAGTTGAGAAGTATATGTCTTGTATGCAAGTTATTTTGTGTTGATATTGTCTGTTTTTACATTTCTGCAGATAAATCTGAGGGTGTTTTCTGCTTTGTTTGTGATGTTGGTGATATGTGAATTCCATGATGAGTCAGATGTGATATTAAGGCCTAAATACTTTGCTGAGTTTGTGTTTTAATTCTTTTCTGTGTAGTAAGTATTTGTGAATTACAGGGTTTCTTTTGCGCGAGACAGCTTTATTTTTGCATTTATCAGTGTCCAACAACCACTTCTTTTCCTAGTTTTCTAGTAGTTGTAGGACTTTTTGAGAGTTTGTGAGTCTGATTCAGGGGAGATTGTGATATAAATGATGGTGTCGTCAGCAAAAAGGCGAACCTGACTTATTGAATTTGGTAAGTCAATAACAAACAGACAGAGGCCCAGAACCGAACCTTGGGGCACACCTGACAGAACTGGACAGACATTGTATACATTATTTTCTACAAGAACCTTTTGGCTACGGTAATCTAGGACATTTTTTATCCAGTTAATGATTTGCAGGTTAATGCCGAAATGAGAAAGTTTGAAAATAAGTCTTTGGTGGTCCACTTGGTCAGTTGTCAGCAACCAGGTAGCTCAATTGGTAGAGCATCAATCTAGAGTGAGAAGGATCCCTGGTTCCAATCCTGGTCTAACCTTACATTTTTCTGCTCCTATTACAAAAGGTGTGCTTGTGACTAACCCTTGTTTCAATTACTGGATGGCTGCTGGTATGTAAAATTATGAAGAGGTTTGACACTGTTAATAAAGGCCCTGTATTTGAGATGCTGACAACATAAATCTGCTATGACACAACATCTACCTGACATGTATCAATACTTGGGCAATTTATTGATCCAAAACTGCCTTTATTATCACCAACTGCTGCTACATTCTGACAGCACCGTCCTCCGTTTTTTAATTGTTGAAAATTTCCCACCTGAGCAATACCATATTGTTGATTATGCAAATTACAAGTGATTAATCAACAAAAAAAGGAACTGTTCTAAATAGAAAAGAAAAAAAAGAAGATTTTGGTCTGGATCAGTATGATTTGTTGATTATGCAAAGTATATGGGAGTGACTAATCGTATGCCATACAACTATAGACAAATAATCTGTTAAAAACACGATACATATAACATATTACAGAAATACATGTAGTGTTGCAAAGTTTTGAGAAAAGAAATGAAATCAACTTATACTTCAGCTTACAGTGGTCTAGTATATTGAAACCTCAATTGACTTCTTCTAAAGAACAGAAAAAGGCCAAGAGTATGATAATTGGCATCTCACCAAAAAGAGTCTGGGGAGCATATGGCTTTTATGCCAGTTCTTCTAACGTTTTCTTCCTCTTTCTTCTGCCAGAGATTTCCAACATTTTTTTTGAAGAAAAAACAAACTTGGTGACATGGAGTGCTACAAATCTTGAGAAAAGAAATTACCTCGACCCATATTCAAGGTTATGAGTAAAATTTTCAAAACAATTGAATGAGTTCTGTGGAACCAAAACATTGAGTCCAATTTATATATTCAGACAGTTAATTGTAGAAGTAAAGTGCTAAAAATTGGCAATTAAAGTCAGAATATTTCAAAAACTTAAAATAGTATTTAGTTGTGTGGCCAGTAGCATTTTTAGCTGGAACAAATTACATAATGGCCAAGTGAGTTAACATTTGTTCCAGGACCTGTTGTTTCTCATGTGTTTCAGACCTGTTGTTTCTCACATGTTCAAGGACCTGTTTTTTTTTTTACGTGTTTCAGGACCTGTTGTTTCTCATGTGTTTCAGAACCTGTTGTTTCTCATGTGTTTCAGGACCTGTTGTTTCTCATGTGTTTTAGGACCTGTTGTGTCTCGCATGTTTCAGGACCTGTTGTTTCTCATGTGTTTCAGGACCTGTTGTTTCTCATATGCTCCAGGACCTGTTATTTTTTGCGTGTTCCATGACCTGTTATTTTTCGTGTGTTTCAGGACCTGTTGTTTCTCTTGTGTTTCGGGACCTGTTGTTTCTCATGTGTTCCAGGACCTGTTGTTTCTCATGTGTTTAAGGGGACCTGTTGTTTCTCAAATGTTCCAGGACCTGTTGTTTCTCGTGTGTTTCAGAACCTGTTGGTTTACAGGACTTTCTGTTTGTATTTTAGATCACACTTGTCAACTGTGCTACTGGAATCCAACAGACTGAGGGAGGAGCAGATAATTAAAACTGAGCAGCAGGAGAGGGAGCGGGAGTGGAATCGAATGATTATCCAAAATGAAAAATGGAATTTTGAAGTAGCAAAGAAACGGTAAGTTGTGCAATGATGACCAGTATATACCTGTACTAACAGTTCAGTTTAGTCTGCACTCTCCACCTGTATGGTTCTGCTATTTTGTTGGATTTTCTTAACATTTATCAGACCAGCTAGTCCAATTTTCCCTGGTTGAACCTGTTTCGCCAAAGGGGGTCATCAAGTAATTATTTAAGCATCCCTGCTCTAAGGGTTGGATTAAAAAGTGGAGGTCAAACGCCTAAAAGTTGCTTTCAATTGTCCAAATCTTGCCTTTAAATTCATAAACATGTGTCAAGCTTGTACTTGAAGGTTAATATCATAATTCGAGGTTACAGATCAACTTGCATGGATTCTGCCCCTCTACTAAATATCAAACAATATTTGAAAGCTTAAATAAAGAATTGTTTCTTTGCAATTTTAAATAAAAAAAAGTATAGATAATTTTATAGAAAATTTGAGATGAAGTGAAAATGTTGAGATCAGTTTGTCTATATCAAGGGCAGATAATAAGAGGTGATGTAAATATACCAGACAGTCTACAGTTTAGTCCTAGTGCATTTATATATATATATATAATATTTCTGCATGGTATGCACGAATGCGACCCTAGTCTACAATAAGGGGAGGTAATTACAGATAAGATGAAACATTTTGCTTCAAGGGGAGGCAACGAGATGCATTTGACCAGCAGCAGTCTTGTTAGGATGTAGTTTCACATGAACAGACTGCTTTATACATAGTAGAATATTAATATACAGAGACAGACTTTTCTGCAGACTATTTACTTTTTGTTCCCCAACTTTAACTCGAAAGAATGGCTGATTAACTAATATGGCTTTAGGTCATGGCTATGAGCCTGAGGTTTACTGACTTAAATTATACACACTTGTTGGTTTATTGTTGATAGGGTGATAAGACAAGCTAAAGATGCTGAGGCGAGATTGGTGGAGATCAACAGAATCAAGTCTGTACGGGAGAGAAGAGCCTCCAGACTTCACAAAGAAGCCTTGGACAGGGTGGCATATGAAATGGTAAATTAAAATGTTCTCATTTGATGATTCTTGCATTGAACTGATATTATTACTCATCAATGTTGAATATTGGGGAAGGGGTTTATATAAGTTAGGAAACTTGTGCCCAATCCCAATGTATATTTTAATGCAAATAAAATATGTTTAAATCTAATGTTGAATAAATATCATTGCTCTTGTGTAGTTTACCAACAATTAAGATGTGTTACTGAAGTGTTATTCCCAGTATCTTATTTGGCAAATTTCATTCTTCCTAACATGTCTGGGACACCATCGTACCATACCCCTATATAGAAAAATTAGGACTGGGACACCGTCAAATTCATAAAAATATTGGGGTCAATAATAATAATCATCAGGCATATGTAAAATTCCTCATAATGTTTGAATACATTATTTCTCAAGAATAAATGGATGGATGTCATCAAACCTTATAGTTGCCCTGCATCTAGCTTTGTCTTCTTAGATATTTAAAGTAATCAATATTCAAAGCCACAAGGGTTATCTTGAACAGTGATAAAACTTATTGAACAATCAGTCAGTTTTAATGCACAAGATTTTACATGGATTGGCTCCACAATATCTTTTTTAATACCGTTTTAAATACGCTACGGATGTCCAGTCAAGAGTTACTAGATCTTTTGTCTAATAACATGTTTTACCTTCCCTCATTTAAAACCAGATCTTTTACTTAAATACATGGAATATTTTACCTGAACATGTTAGAAATGCACCCTCACTATTACCGGTATCTTTTAAACAGAGTGCAAAAAGTTTTTTTTATGGACTTATCTTAAGTACTGTAATGGATGTTTTATACAATTGCATTTCATCATGTTTTATTCTTATGATTCTCTGTTTTATGTACATTTTTAAAATTATTATATTTTCTATAACTACTTGACCAAATGTAAGATGAGTCGTTGACTCAACTTTGTCATCAAGTATAAATAAAGACTATTGTCATACTGCAAAGAAAAATGTCGCACGGTGATTGGTCGAATTGCAAAGGTACCTGAAGCTATGTTAGTATCCTTGCCGGGGTACATATGAGCACGCGCGCCTGTTGTAAGGGAGATAACTCACAGATTCGAATCGAACACACCGGAGAACGTTCGTCTGCTAATGTCAACAATGAACAAAATGGTGTAACGGTTTGCAAGCCACACGGAGAGTGAAATTGAGACAAAACGGGCGTCACTTATACCTACAAACACAAAGAAAAGTAACAATTCAGCAAGCAAAACCTTCAGAGCATACTTAAACGAAAAGGAGCAAGACACAGATTTTGAGGACTTCTCGAAGCCAAGATTAGACGAGGCATTGGGTCATTTTTATCTCTATGCAAGGAAACAGGATGGGAGTCTTTACAAGACGACAACGCTTGAACATTGCTTTGCAGTATGACAAATTCGTTATACAGGTCTTTGGCAGGGTACATGGTCTCATGTTCGCTGTCAGGACCTTTTACATAAGGTCCTGACAGCGAACATGAAACCATGTACCCTGCCAAAGACCTGTATAACTAATATTATTATTATACGGTCTAAGCTTTAGTAAGACTATATAGATGTGTGGTGAATTGTTAAAAAGATGCGGCGTAGTGGTACATGTGTTCTGGTGAACTGCTTGATGCATATTGATTGATCGTGAACTAGAAATAGACAAATAGACCATATTATACTCTTGGTTTGATTATGTTAGATAACAGGTGTCAGAAAACATTGTTTCAGACAACATAAGAACGATCAAAAACAGCTAGATCGGTTATTAGGATATATCGGCTATAATGATATTTTTCTCTGGCAAATAGAATATCATAATAAGCAGGATTCCACTGTATGGCTACATCAAATATCCTCACCAAAATTAAATGCGACAAATATTTATTGATAATTTTAGTTTCTTTGTCAAACATTACGATCTGTATAATCTGAAGTTTTTGTGGTATTTCAGGACCAGGTTGATAAATTCATCACTGTCAGCAATGTTGATGAGGAGATTGAACGTGTGCTAGATTCATCAAAGAACTACCTATTTGCTGTTGACAAGAAAGGGACAGTTATAGGAGCGGAGTCGAAACAAACAGTTACAGATTCTGATTTATCATCAACACCAGAAACCCCAAAAACCTAATACACTGTCATGATAAAAAATAATTTGAATGTGTGGAATGACTTGTTTTTTTGTTTGAGTTATTGAAAAGGGTGGAAGATGTTCAGTCCACTCTATTTCATGGGAGTAAGCAAAATAGCGATTTTGACCTCACAACTTAAGTCAATAAAATATTTTCAATTTACAAAATTGACATTAAAATTAAAACCTTTATTATCCAATGGGTTGTTGATTGAACATATTCTTGTATTTGAAAGTGAGACATGCCTAGGAACATGGGATAGTAACACACAAATTTGAATGTTAACCTCTCTTACAGTCAACATTGATTGAGGAATAATATGCTATCATGTCTGAAGTACCTCTAGTTGGACCTATAGTTTATCACAACTTTGAATGCCATGTGCCACACAGAAGAAAGAATTTTAAGTTCGTTCATGACTGCAAGCTTTGCAAGCATCATGATATCAACCTACCTTCAAGGTCATTGGTCAAATATGTCAAAAAATTCAAACAACTTCTTCTGAAGAACAAAAAAACCTAGAGTCATGATATAAGACAGGTAGCTGTCTAGGATTTAGCCCGACTATGTTTGCAAACAAATTTTGCATTTGGTTAGATTTATGACACAATGGTAAAAATATATTGAAATGGAGAGTTTAAAAGAAGAAAAATGTTTTTTTAACACAAAGTTCTCGCACAACATTTAAGCATGGGCAAAAACTCGTTATGTAAATAACGGGTTGCAGGCCTTGAATTTAGTACAATGTACATTACCTTAGTGTGACTGATGAACACACAAAGATTCATGATCCTGGTTCAAATGGAGGCAAAGTTATGCTCTGGACACAATATTTTAGCAAAGGGCAATAACTATTATTAAGGGACTGCAGACCCTAAATATGGTGCAGTGCTCATCAACTTATTGTGACTGATGTACACACCAAGATTCATGATCCAAGCTTAACTGCAGGCAAAAGTATGCTCCGGACACACCTTTTTAGCAAAGGGCAATAACTCTGTAATTAAGGGGTTGTGGGCCCTGAATTTGGTACCAGGCACATTGCCTTAGTATGACTTATGTACATACCAAGTGAAAGGATGGAAGGATTGACGGACAAAGCGCCAACTAGATGCTCCCCTGAACTTTTTCAGGGAGCATAAAAACTTCAAACCACTTCTTAAGAATTGAAAGGCCTAGTCATGATATTTGGCTGATAGTTTCCCGGGATCGAACAAAATAAATTTACAAATGAAAATGACCTTGACATACCTTCAAGGGAGGTCTATCATATTAGAAATTACTATAGCCAACTTCCAAGGTCAAATGTGTTAAACAAGTTTTTTGATGTTTTGCCTGTAGCTTGCTATTCTGTCTGCGTATTGCAGTTATCTCCTCCTATGAGCAGGTATTGATTGTTACGTCATTTGTTTGTGAGAGTAACATTATCAATTTTTGAGAAAATTTTCTTGCACAAACCAATGACATAACAATCAATACCTGCTCACAAGAGAAGATAACTGCAATACGCAAGGACAGAATAATGAAAGGCTTTCAATTTTGTTCAAATGAATCGCACCGGCCTAACCCACTATTTGAGGTCATTTGTGTCAAATATGCTAAAACATTATTTCTTCTAAAAATAGAAGAGGCCTAGGGTGATTTTAGGCAAAAAATGCGTTGGAATCTGGGAACAAGTTTTTTGGAATAACCTTGAGTCATAGAAAAGGATATTTAGCTTGAAGCTTTATTCAGTCCATTTAAACACATTTGACCTTGGTGAACTTTAAAGAAAAAGTGAGATTTATAGCAGATCAAGTGATGCAGGCCAATAAGGCCTTGTTTCTCTTTCTTGTTGGATAGAGTCATGTGTTATACTGATGTGTATAACATAATTATGAAAGTTTATCTTGAAGTTTCTGGGCGACACTTTTCTATATTTTTGTCTTTGACAAGTAGACCTCGGAGCACATTATAATCAACCATGTTTGTTTTTGAATAAATGTAGACCAACGTTTACTCTGGGCTGTCCCATGATCCCGTTAGGCCTATAGATCTAATATTTTAGCTCACCTGGCACTTCCGAGTGAGCTGTTGCTGTCGTATGGCGTCTGTCCGTCTGCCTTGCGTCAACTTTTCACCTTTAAACAACTTCTCTCAATAACCTATATATATGCCTAGGGTGATGGTATTTAGCAAGCAACAATCTCAGATGAAGGGCTACCAAGTTTGTTCAAATAAATAAGCTTGAACCACTTTCAAGGTCATTGGGGTCAAATGGTTAAAAAAAAAAATCAAATGCTTGGATGACGGGCTAAAATGTTTAGTCAAATGATAGACCTTGAGTTTACAGTAATAAAACGCCTAGGGTGAAAATATTTGGTCAGTAGCATGCTGTAATGAAGGGCTACAAAAAGTTTGTTCAAATGGAAGACTTTGACCCTCTTTCAAGGTTACAGTTAAGCCATGTTCAAATCTTTTTTTCTCAATACCCAAAATACCTTGGGTCCTGCTGCTGTCTTATTGGATGTGACATTAGGGAAACAATATATGGTGCATTGAACATCTCGTCAGGTTGTGGCACCAAGAGACAGCGGTTGAAAACCGTAAACAAAGACAATACTGAGTCATGTTATATATACATTGTATATTTATAAATGCAGTTTTTCAGTTACTCCATCATCATTTCTGTTAGAAAGAGGTTCACTAATGTACACTGTACATACAATACTTTCCGACATGGAAATAATGTAAAACAAAACAATGAAATGATGTACAGGACAAAAACGGAATACTTAACATTATCTGAGTATGGTTTTATCATATTTTGTTTGTGCAGTCCGATAGTCTGTTAACAAAATATGTGATCATACCTCTTATCTCACATTTAGTTTTTGTAAATAGAATGTCTGATACTTAATGTTACAAAATAGTACATGCTATTTCTAACCAAGTCTTGACAAACGTAAACCATAATATGCAGTATGTAGAATGAAAATTGTTAATGCTCAGAAATCTATGCAATAAAACAATAAAAAGTGGGTAGCTTCATTAATCGTTCACATGCCTAATGCCTATCAAACTTAGCCTAACAGTATAAATTTGTCAAATTATGTTGGAAATTAATCACTCATTAGAAGGTTTAAGCTGGAAAAACCAATTAACCAATCGGATGTGAGAAGCCTCATAAATTAAGCGTAACTATGCAACCATTGATTTTGCAATTGAACTTAGCCAAACACTTTTAATGTGAGTTATTGCACGAAAACCAAGCGTAACAGATTGAGACTGATGTACCAAAATTAATATCTCGTCTATAAAAGCATGTTATAATATATATATAACAACATCATTCAACAACTTAAATTGTCAGTTTTTCCAATATTGCCTACGTCAAACCTTTAAGCTGGTAGAATTCTCGAAAAAAGACAATATTTACGTACCATAAAAACATCCTTTAGTCATGTTGTAAACTGGGAGATGTACGTGTCCCATTTACTTTGTTCTTTGTGATATTTCGGGAATAATAGGTGACAATGGGGTTTGCAAGAGAGCAGGCAATATTTTGGAATCCATTGCCCACATTATTTTACTAGAACCAATTTTACAAATGTTAATTAATTTTGACTCCACTACCCATATGTTATTACATTAGAAGTACCTCCCTGCTGGAGAAAGAAAACAATGTAAGTATTACAGCTCTAAATGTCCTAAAACATGTTAAAATCCCAACATCAATCTACCATGTTTACACTACACAAACAATTCATTTACTCATGAGATTGGCTTACAGGTCATACAGTTTGAGAAATGTGTAAATTACTTCGGAGCCCCGACTCAGTTTCCAAACATACGACCAGATTTCAATTTCTATCTCACTCTCTCTTCTCTCTTAAATGCAGATTTTGATACAGAAATATACATTATTATGACTATAAGCCCACAAAGACCGTACTGACCGTAGAAATAACTGTGTTAAACATGTTCCAATGTTAAGACCCCTTCACACTTATGCCTATCGTTTTAACCTTATTATTACAAACAGTTGATATAGTCATTAAGTCGGTCTACATGTCATACTGTTTGGGAGTTCTGATTCGCCTTGTCCTGGTGGACGCCACATGAACCTTAGTAGGAGTGACATAAGATGTTGGGACTACTGGTGTTCCCACATTTTTGCTGGTCACTGCTTTATTGGTAACGGACAAACTGGACACCTGTGTGCCACTCAAAGTCATCACAGTGGCTGTTGCTGTACCAACACATTTAGTGTCGGTCTCACTGGCTTGTGAACTTGTCATTGGCTGAGAGATAAAAGTACTTGTTGCCAATGGCGATGGTGATGACCTCTGTATGACTGGGCTTGATTCAAATAGAGATGAAACTTTTCCTAATGTTTCTGTACCCATTACTACCTTGATTTGCTTCTCCTGTGTCTGTACTGGCTTGGGAAGCGTAATCATGGAGCCACCACTCATTAAATTTCTCTCCAATGTTGTGGCTGTTCCTGTAGCAGGCGATGATGCAGCCACCATCGAAATACTCACACTTGGATTAGATGTGACAGTCTCTTTGACAGAAGGTGCCTGAACAGGAAGTGATGTAACAATTGGAGGAGGAACAGGTGCTGTTCCACTCTTTCCAGAAGTGGACACGATGGGTTGGGGTTTCATCATACAAATTAGTTCTTGACGTGACACTGAATGGACTTTGGCTTTAACAAGAGAGGAACTTGTGTCAGTCAGTCCTGTTGTAGTGAGGGGAAAATCATGGAACTGGAGTTTTTGTAAGGTCTGCACTTTATCTGACTCTGTCTGACTGCCAGCTGAAACATGCATCTGTGTGGCTGCAGTAGTGGTAGCAGCTGTTGAAACACTGAAAGTAGCAGGCACGCTGACAGTTGCTGAGGTGGGAATGGTAACAGTGACCTTGTTGCCTTGCTGGATGCTAGCTTGTGTAGGTGAGGATAGGGTCTGCAGGAGTGTAGGTAGATTAGAGTGAGCCACGACAGGATGGGACTGATGGGATGACGAAGAAGATGATCGTCCAATGGAGGAGAGGAGCTGTTGAATCTGATTACTACCAGTAGCTGATGCTGATGTTATGTGAACTGGCGGCTTAAGACCACCAGCACGCAGAGCATTACTTAGTGTAGTCAGGGTCATCTGCAGGGAAGAAGATGATGAGTTCTGAGTGGAAACACTGTTTGCAGTTGACAGTGTCACACTTGCTGTCAGTTCTTGTCTGGCTTCTTTCACAGAATGTGAAAGATCAGACGAAGAAGGCCCACACACACTGTGGCTTGGCTTGGCTAATGGCTTAGCTACCACTTTGACCGGAGCCTTTTCCTGTGCTTGGTTCTGGCTGATGAGGGTGGCAAGGCGATCAGCAAGGCTCTTATTTGCAAGAGATGATACAGAGGCTGCTGCATGTGGTGACAGTGGACTTTGCGAAGGTACTGGATTTTTAATTCCATCTGAGCTAGGTCCGGATAATGCTGTTACTGTAGATGGTAAACGTGACTGTGGTGTAAGCTCGCTCCCACGGATGTTAAAGGACAAAGGTCCGGGTCTGCAAAGCAGCCCCGACAGCTCTGGGGCGCTCTTCATGGCTTGGAGTGTGGACGGACTAGTCACAGGTATTGGCTGGTTTACCAGAGCTGCCTTCATCCGTTTCTTTGGAACAGAACCAGGAGCACTTCGTACATACTTCCTCTTTGGAGCATTTTTTGGTTCTAAAATTGAAAAAAAAAAAAATAATCAGATTAAAGCATTCTAAATGCAAATTTGTTTCCAATAAATTGTAACTATTGTAATTAATGGGTATAGCAATGTTTTTTTAAAATACAAATTTTAAATACACAAATGATCATGCAATGGCACCGAAGCTGAATATACTTGTACTTACTGGTCCCAGAGAAGATGACAGGGCCTGCAGCAGCACTAATGCCAGTCGTGGTTGTGAAGCCCTGGGCCGTGAAGGTGCCACTGAGGAATGTGAGGCCCTGCTGACGGGCCGACTTCAGAGCTTTGGCTACTGTTAGACCTTTCGGACTAACAGGGGACACAGGACTGGATCTCTCATACTGTAAACAGGAACAACAGTAGTTACGTTAATGGATATAGCAATTCAGTATTAATGCCAGTCCCACACATAAATAGAATAAATATTCTACTTTCATAGTAAACTTTAGAGAAAAACACATTGTTTTGGCAATTTCTATATACAATGTACTGTGGATTATGTAAATATCATGCAATCTTAACTAGTGATTCTATATTTCTGTAGTTAGTTGCAAGGAATTTTCTATATCTATCTCACAACCCTGTCCCATACTAGGTAATATAGATCAATTCTTATCTAATGCAGCTGAGTAGAAATGCCAACAAACACTATTTCATTAACCTGTAATATCAGCCCCTTTCTTCCTGTTTGAGACCGAGGTAGTCTAGGAGACCCCCGTCTGATCCCCACACAAGGCATATTGCTGGATAATTAGGGCTACATTTGCGTATCCCGGTTGAAACGGTATGTGTGGCGCAGAAATTTTCCACGATAAACGAACACACTTGGACCGTTGTATAAGCAGAGCTACAAATCCACAGTTTCGGAGAATAAAAAACAGTGTTTCAAGAATATTATGACCTTCTTTCATCCATCCACTGAATTACATAACGTAACTTAACAAGAGGCCCATGGGCGTAAACGGTCACCTGAGTCTACAGTATTTATTTTTGTTGTTGAAATATGTACCAATTTGAGTAAAAAATAGTATAATGTTAACTTAATTTTGTCAGGACCATGAGCTGATCATTCCTAGACCAATTTTAAGTGAGATCGGCCTATTAGAACTTAGTAGCAAAATAGCGGCCATGGCAGCCAAATTGTATTTCTGATTGACCCGAAAAATAACAACACTTTGTCAGGACCATGATTCGATCATTCCTACAAAGTTTCAGTTCAATCGGCCAAGTAGATCTTTACTTTAAGTTTGAAATAGTTT